TGCGAACTGCGAGTTCGCAACCGCGTGCTCTCCTACCCCGCAACTGCGGGCTATCCTACGCGGCAACCGGCACTTATTCGCTAAGGAGGGGTCTCCTACCCCGCAACTGCAGGCAGCAAGCGCGCAGTAGTAATTACTGAGCTCTGTGCCGCAACTGCGGCTCATCGGTCTTGGCGCACTCACGGCTTGTCCGCAACTGCGGCAGATCGCGCCTCTTCATGCCTCCGCTTGCTCGCCCGACTCGCGCGTCCGTGCCCGACGAAGGCGAGGTTTTGGTGGTGGCCCTCGTACCAGTGCGTGGCGAAGGTCGTCTCGTTGAGCTCCATCTGAATGACCTTGCCGATGGGGGGCAGCGCTGCCGAGCCGAGCTGTCTTCTGACTCCGCTACTGCGGTTAGGGTCAGAATCCCACTTGGGCATGTCCTTCGTGTGCACCCATCGCCGAGAGATGATGGAGTCGCTTGTTCGATGCAGCCACTCAAGGAGCCACTGGGGATCGTTCTTCGACGGCCTCCCTGCAGAATCCGCGTTGTAGTCCGCAATGCGCACGTCGCACGGGCCAATGGGGACGACGTAATTGGGATGCACGACGCGGGCGCCTTTCCTGAAGCCTCCGAACAGGGCGGGCCCGCCCCTGAACACTACCCCTATCGGGCAGTTGTAGCTGGCTCCGCAACTGCGGCCAAATGCTTGAAACTGCTCAGGCGGGATGTCAAAGAAGCCGCACAAGAACCGGACATGGTTTTTGTGGATGGAAGCTAAAGCGTCCTTGAAGAAACCTGCCTGCCACGCTGCTTGTTCTGATTGCGTAATCTTCTGTTGGAGAGGTTCGCAAACAGCGTGTCTGGACACGACGGCAAAAGGGATCACCGCTTCAGGATTCATTTCGGAAGCCTTCAGGCGAAAGCGGAGGATCGTGACGGCGTGGGTGGCCCCAACAACATGACCCGCAGCTGCGGTGTCTGCGATGATGTGCGGGCGCACGAGCACCAGGCCTGTGTCTTTGAACAGGTCAACCGTCGTCCAGTAAGGCTCCTCGCTGTTGTTCTTCAAGTTGCAAGCGTCTTCGACGGCATGCCTCAAGGAGGAAGCGCCTTCGACGTTCCCCGCGCGGAGCATCTCGGGGTCCCATAGAACGAAGATGACCGCCGCAGTTTGGTGCAGGATGCAATTGAAGACACTTTTCTTTGTTGCCGAAATGATCACCACGTTGAACACCAGAGCGATGGTGGACGGCACCCGATGGCCGTCTGCTGTGCGAAGGGATCCTTCGTTCCACTTGGTGGGTTCCCCAACATAGTTTATCCCTGGAGGGCCCCTGGCCCGCGGCTTCTTCCGCGGTGCTCCCGCATCTTCCCGCAACTGCGGCTCTGACAGCGATCCCGCGCGACCCCGCGACTGCGGTTCTGACAGCGGCGAGCCTTCCGTGGGAGGCGGCCTTTCCCTCGGACGCGACTCGGCCGAGGCGACTGTCTCGGCGGCTTTCTCCTGGGAGGCGGCCTCGTCTTCGGGTTGGACGCCCCGTTTGGACTCGGCTGGGAGAAGCGCGGCCGAGGGCGCGCTGCTCGCAGCGGCGCCGCGCACGGCACCTGGCTCGCCGGCCACCCCCGCAACTGCGGTCTCGGTGGCGGGTCGCGTCACTGCTGGTTGGTCCTGCTCCTTCGTCGGCGTCGGCGCCCGAGCCCGCCATTTTGCCTTGGGAGCCATTGGCGGCCTGCGCAACTGCGCCTCTTCACGGCTCCCAGTGCCAGACGGCTCGATCGACTGCGTGCTGATCGGCGGCGGCGGCCGATAGCCCCGCGGGGAGCTATGCGACGAGCCCTCCGACGAAGGGGGGGCCTCGCGCGGCGCAGGCTCGTGGCTTCCGCAACTGCGGTCTCCCTCAGGCGCCGCGACTGCGGGCTGCGCGGCAGCCCCTGTCACGCCGAACTTCTCTCGCAGTTGCCGCTTCGGCTCGGCGAACCGCTGGTCGAGCTCGGCTTTCGGCGTGGCGTCCATGGGCGTGGCCGCGCGCGGCCCCCGTCCGACGGGGGAACTGCGGCCGGCTTGGGCGAGGAAGGACAACGAGGGAGACGGCGGGGATGAGGACGAGGAGGGCGAAGAGGAGGATGGAGAGGACGAGAAGGAAGAGGATGCCGCGAAGAGCTCAGACGAGGATGAAAGGAGGAAGGGGACTGCGACGAGGGTGACGGGGCAGAAACGGAGGAGGAGGAATCGAGAAAGTCCGCAACTGCGGCCGTCGGAGGGGACTGCGACGAAGACGACGGGAAATGACTCGGCCAACGGAGGCGGGCGAATTACGGCCAACGGAAGAAATGGCTAATGACGGAGGCGGGCTACGCCTACTGCGACGAGGAGGAAAGGCGGAGGGGGGGGGCTGCGACGAGGACGACGGGGAAGGGGCGACGAGGACGACGAACAACTGCGGATTCATATGTTCGCCTGTCTCCGCAACTGCGGCCGCGCTAACGTCACGAGTGCTTCAACGGAGGTGATGCGCGCCCGAAGCGCCTAATTACAGCGGTCTGTCGTGGGAGCGCAGCAACTGCTGCCAAGCTATATGAAGTCGCTAGAAGGCAGCGCCGCAACTGCGGCCGAAAGCGCGCATAGTGAGTCAAACGAGCGCGGCGTCACGCGATCGGTCCCCGCAACTGCGGTTCCACGGCTGCGCCCACTGCGGTTGAATTCCGCAACTGCGGTGTCAAGGCTGCGCGGACCACCGCGGTTGCAGGCGCGACCCCTTGTTCGCATCGAACCGCCCAGGATTCGCATGGTGGCCATCGCTCTTGCCAAGACCTGCCGTCGGGCCGCGCACGGGGTGCCAGTGCGGCCCCACCTCATACGTGTTGAACTTCGGGCTAGACCAGGATGGGTGGACGCGAATGCCCGAGCCGTCGTCGCGGATGAGGGCGAAATCCCACTGGGGCAGAGAGATTGTTTGCGCCTGTCCTCTGTCCACCCCTTTCGCGTGCCTCATGTTGTCGAGACTGTTAGGGCGCGGGCTGCACTCGCAGCGGACCAACCCGCGACTGCGGTCATTGTCAGGGCCGCACACGACGCGCAGCATTGTAGGTCCATCCATCTGCGCGACCATCTCCAGCCAAGACCACGGCACTTTGACAGTGTGGTCCCAATCCCAATCCCTGTTGTCCTGCGCCTTCCCCTTTGCGCGGTACTTAAGGATCTTCGATATTTCCTCCGCAAATGCGGTACCTCCGAAGACGGGCGCGCGGCTGCCGAAAGGGTTTTCTCGGTCTTCGAACTCGTCTCGGAAAAACTGCAAGGCCGCGTTGCGCTGCTTATAATTCCCAGACCAGTCCGCCCTAAAGTTCTCGAAGAAGTCCAACCTGAGAATAGGCCCTGGCTCCTGGCCCACAGTCTGAGAAAGCGCAACTGCGCCTTGCCCTTCGCGTTCTGGGGGAAGTAGGGGACGGCCTCCTTTGCCCGCCGCTGTTGCGGCCGCGGGCCCCGCGGCAGGAGAACCATCCCAAGCACTCGAGCGGCCCCTTTCCCATGCATTCCAGCAGCCACACTCCTCGTCCCACCAGCGGGCGCCCTCCATTCCCGAACCCTCCCATCCATTGCCGCCCCATCCGCCGCCGCGCTCCCATCCGCCGCCCTCCCATCCGCGACTGCGGTCACTTCCGTCGCCGCCCTCCTGCGCTTTTCCTCCCCATCCGCCAAGAGAAGCTCCGCCGCCCCAGCCGCCACTGCGGTCACCTCCGCCACCGTATCCGCCACTGCGGCCGCCCCAATCCTCACTTGTTCCCCAACCGCCACCGCTGCTCTGTGAAGAATCCGCAACTGCGGCCCGTGTTTCCTCTTCCGATTTGTCATCCCACCCTGCACGCATCTCTGCCCCGACTGCAGGCCGCGGAGGCGGGCGCGAGCCCGCCCAACCGCCGTGGAACCTGCCGTCGGCGCGGGCTTGAGCCGAACATGCATGGAGGAGGATGATGAGGAGGAGGAGGGTGGAGGTGAGGAGGATGATGCGTTCCTGGGAGGTGTGTCTTCGCGTGCCAAACAAGAGCCCTGAGAAATCCTGAGGTTCCTTCAAGAGCCAAGGACGCGGATGACAAGAAAGCCGAGAAGATTGGGAACCGATTGAGGATTAAGAGGCGTGCGAAGGAGGACGAAAGGGATGATGACGACGAAGAGGAGGATCTGTGAAGGGGAGGAGTGGACAGGAATTATAGAGGAGTGCTAGCAGAGGAGGAAGAGGGGGAAGGGGGAGGAGGAGGCGGAGGAGGAGGAGGAGGAGGGAGAGGAAAAGGGGGAGGAGGAGGAGGAGGAAGGAGGAGGGGGAGGAGGAGGAGGAGGAGGAGGAGGAGGAGGAGGAGGAGGACGAGGAGGACGAGGAGGAGGAAGGAGGAGAGGGAGAAGGGGGAGGGGGATAATTAGGAGGACGAGGACGGAGAAATAGGACAAATGAGGAGGAGGAGGCGGAGGAGGAGGAGGACGAGGAGGAGAAGCAGGAAGAGGAGGAGGAGAGGGGGGAGGAAGAGTGCGCATGAGACGGAGAGAACGAGGTAGAGAGGGAACGGGGGAGGAGGGAGGACAAGGAAGAGGATACAGCGACGAGGAGAGAAGAAGGAACAGGCGAAGGCTCCTGCTGATCGCATTTCCGCATCGTTCAAAGCAGTGCCGGGGCACTGCTTTGAACGACTGGCGTTGTTCAAAGCAGTTACCCGGCACTGTGGTCGTCGACGCCATTATAAAGGCTTTCGGATTATGGAAGCGCTCGCGGACATCCATCTCCATCCCTACAGGACTCTTCAAAGGTCCTTGGAGGCCTCTGCAGGTCTATGGCGTTCGAAGGAGGCATCCAGAGCCTCAACAGGCGGCAACGAAAGCGTCCAAAACCTGCAGGCCTCCTCCTTCTCCTCCTCCTCCTCCTCCTCCTCCTCCTCCTCCTCCTCCTCCTCATCCTGTCGTCGTCGCAGTCCTCCTCCACGAGGGCACTCCTCCTAGGACAGTGGATCCCATCGGGCAGGGGCAGGCCTCGATCTGCCTGGCGGTGTGCTCGTGGCAGAAAGGCACGATCTCCACCGGCAGGGGGAACCCCGGCCCAAGCCCTGGCACTGGGCGCCAAGGAAGACGAAAGGAGGAGGAGAAGGTCGTCCAAATGGGGCTGGAACGGATGGGGTCGGAGGATCACGCCGCATCGGTGATGTACGGGCGATGCGGTGCCATCCTCCCCCAACAGTTGTTTCCTCGACGAACAGATTGTAAAGAGAAAACTTGCCATCGCTCGGACGTCGTTTCCCCGTTCATTTGTCGGTGTCGTAGGTTGTTTTGGTGTTTTTCGAAATGATCCATGATGTTCCTCGATGGTCCTCGCCAGGAAAATGCACACGTCCGAGCGATGCTAAGAAAGAGGGATGGGAGAGAGAGAGAGAGAGAGAGAGAGAGAAGGGAGAGAGAAAGAGAGAGAGAGGGAGAGAAAGAAAGAAGAAATAATAGAGAGAGAGAGAAGGGAGAGAGAGAGAGAGAGAGAGGAGGAGAAGGGGGGGGGATGCGCACAGCCGATGATCGACCTACCCCCTGCGACCTCTCGGCGCCGTGCCCGGGGGCCCCAGCGACAGCGGGCAGTCTGCCCGTCTGGGCGCCCTGGAGGTTGATGCGGGGGCAGGCAGGCGGAGGACCCCCAAACCAGGGTCGCCTCCTCCTCCTCCTCCTCCTCCTCCTCCTCCTCACACACCCTCCCCGTCCGAGGACGAGGCGCTCCCACTCCCACTGGAGGCTGAGCCCACTCTCACCCGGGGCGCCCCGACGACATCCCACGAAGGGGTACCTGCCACCGCGCCTGCCACGCTGGGGCCTGCCTGGTAAAGCATCTGCGATCTTGTGGGGCCCCACCCCTCTCGCCACTCGCGGGCCTGCGTCATAGTGAGAAACATGATTGCTGGAAAACGATGGGTCCGCGCTTGGGTCCGCGTTCCCGAGGCCATCCTCCTTCGTTGAAGCATTGGATTCGCGCTCCCGAGACCACGATCGCTTGGCACGAACAACGGTTCCGCGATCCAGAGGCCACGGTCCAATGTGAAAGACGGCCGAGGCAGGCCGCCAAGGTGGGTCAAAACGAATTCAAGACGGCCCGAAATGGCTCCAAGACGGTTCAAAACACCCTCAATACAGTTCCAGAGGCACCCAAGACCTCCGAACAAGCCACACGAGGACCCCCAACAGGGCCTGTATACACCCAAGCCATGTACGTCCTTGACTTGTGTTGGCGTCTTCATCTTTCCGGGCTTCCTTCAGCTGAAGACAGCCTTGGAGGCCTCCCACGTGGCCGACAAACGGCTCAGAAGGGCCTCCAACTTGTCCAACAATCCCCCCAAACCGGGAGACGGCTCAAGAGGGCCCCTAAACGGCCCAAGACTGGCCCAAAACACGACGAATCTGCCCAAGAGGGCCTCCGGAGGCACCCAACACGGCCTTACAGGGTCCCCGACGGTCCGAGACAGCCTCCAGACACATCCCATACGGCCAACAGGGTCTAGTAGGGCCGAAGGGAGCTCCAAGATGTCCCAAAACCGCCCAAGAGGGCCCCAAAGGACCCAAGATTGCTCCACAGGAACTCACGACAGCCCAGGGGCGGCCCCAAATTAGCCCTACACCAACCTCATCTCCATCATGAGGTTCAATTTCGCATCCGTCTACTATGATGTTCATCCTACGTGTGTTCCCCCTCCTCATCGTGCCCCCCCTTCATCATCGGTTCTTCATTCCCCAAACCCGCCCAAAGACGACCTAAAATGATCCAATACGGCGGATGTGTGACATGTTACTGCGTCTTGACAGTTACTCCAACTGCCAACACACACTGTACCTTTAACGTCGAACAGGTGTCTCCGAGAGTAATGCTGGGCTGGCATGGTGGCGGGACGTACACAAAACAAAACCCTACACGTCAGGCGCCGTTAAGGCTACAAGTAGCACGGATCCCAATGACGAGCACTCACTGGGAGGGCGCTGTAGTATTGCCCGCAGGGACTGCGCATGCGGTCAAACATTGCGCCCAGGATTCGCAGCGCGACCTGCGTACGATGATTTGGTTATCACCAACAGATACCATTGTGGCCAACCCGTGGTGCAATGGAGTTGGTGCTGCAGAGATGCTTAGTTGTCGCCAAGCCCGTGGTCACCGTTTCGGACTGGCACAGGTGGTTGTCAATCGACAATTCGCTCCCGACGTGTGTTCAGGCGATCTATGTCTGCATGGCAGATCATCGATAATATCGCCTGTCTCGCAATCGCCCCAAAGCCAGACGAAGATTGCTCAGATGTCATGTCGGAAAATAAGGAAAGTGCGTGGCTGAAGGGAGGGGGCTGCAACGGTCTGGAGGAACGAGGAAGTGGAGCGTATTGGAAGGGGAGAAAGGGAAGGGGAAGGACTGCGCATGGGGCGGGGGGGGAGGACAGGGGAATGGCGGAGAGCAGGGGGAAGGCAGGGGAGGACAAGGGACAGGGAGAGCGTGGGACAGCAGGGAGGACAGGGACAGGGAGACAGGGGAGGACAGGGAAGGGGAGGACATGGGACAGGGAGAGCGTGGGAGAGCAGGGGAAGGCAGGGGGCGGGGAAGATGAGAGGACGGTGAGGGTTCTTGTGTTATGCCCATCCGCGGTCCCCAGAAGGCGTCCGCAGCGGCTCACGCGAGCTCGAAGGCAGTCTTACCGAGGCAAGATATAAGGAAAAGGGGAGGAGAAGACAGAAGTCCGACCGGCAACCACGTCGCGCGCGTGACTCGTGGTCTGCCCGCCCCTCGGCTCCCGGTCCTGAAAACAACTTGCTCTCGTCCACGATGACCACGAATGTTCTGGCGGAGGCCTACTCGGCCCTCCTCCTCCTCCTCCTACTCCTCCTCCTCCTCCTACTCCTTGTGCGCCTCCTGCCCCTTCGCCTCCCACGATCCTCACGAAAGTATTGGGGCTGCGCCGTATATGTGCCTCCTCCTCCTCATTATCCTAGGCTCCTTCTCACCATGATTATGAAGCTCCTCCCCCTACGCCTCCTGCCCTTGCCTCACCCGCGATGGCCACGAAGTTCGCTTCGGAGGCACGCACCTACGCCACTGGTCTTACCTCGCTCCCACCGTCTCTGGCAACAAAGCGCCTCGCCTCCGCCCTCCCGCTGGGAAGCGGTGCGCCACTGCCACCCCTCGCACTGCCATCCCGGGTCCGTGGCAATCTCCTCTTGATTCGCCTTCACGGGGGTACTCACTCCCTACCTGATGTGTCCGCTCCCTTGCTCTTGCTCGCGCGCCGTCTAGCGCAAGGCTTCTGATTGACTCCCTTGCTCTTGCTGTCCCCGTTCTCCTGCTTCCCTCCCAGCTCCCTGCTTCTCCTCTCCCCCGCCCACATGTTCACAACTCTTATTCCTCGGGTCATCCTGGCGCTGCTGCAGCTCCCGCTAACATCGTCTCTGCCGCTGCTGGTCCTCCTCATCCTCCTCTTCCTCCTCCTTTTCCGTCGCCTCCTTTGGCGAAACAAATAGATCAAGACACCGCCACTCCGTGGACCTCTCCAAGGGCGCGTTCCGACCAGGATCTCGAGCTGAATCCAGCCTTGGCGACGGGTGAAGGGCATCGGCATCGGTATCAACATCATCTCATCCACCCCCGCAAACAGAATCGCGACTTGCCTCCACGAGCAGGAGAGCAGTCCAGCGCAGCCGGGTCCTTCTCCGTCTCATCCTACTCTTTCTCCTCCTCCTCCTCCTTCCTCCTTCCTCCTCCTCCTCGTGATCTCCGACCAGTCGGCACTGGTACCACGGATGGTGCTGCCAGCCACCTGCTCCTGCTCCTGCTCCCGTTCCTGCTCCTGCTCCTGGTCCTGGTCCTCCTCCTCTTCATCATGCGTCGACCCTGTCTAGCCTTGATTCTCCCTCCTGCGTAGAGCGTTTGCCAGCTTGTGCCCGAGGCCCTATATGTTGCCTGCGCCAGTGCGAGTCCGCCGCCACGGGGGTCGAGCCTTCTCGTGTGGCAGCTGCCAGTTGTCACAGGCTAGGTGTGGAACCTGCAATGTGGGGCTGTATGCAGTGTTCCGTATTTCCCACAAGTGCAGAGTGCAGTCGCCCTGGAGGTTTCTGTGGTGAGGCCGTGGAGGTGGCCGCGTCCACTTTGTAGCAGTGCCCACTTGCGGCAGTCACACGCCCGTGGTGGCGGGCATGTTGTGTGACCCCTCTCGGGGGCCCTCGGGGGGGAGCCCTCGGAGGGATCACGGGGCCGGCGTGGCCCCGTGTTGGCCCCGTGACCCAACGGGGCTATGTGACCCGTCGGCCACGACCGCCGCTCCGAGGCAGAGCCTCTGTGACGCGAGCACAGCGGACGGCGGCAGGCAGAAAAAACGCCCCCCGTCTCTCTCGCCATCGCTCGGACGTCCACTTCCCGTGCAATGTGTCGGCTTCCTGCGTGGCTTCTTCTCGCCACATGATCAAGGAGGCTCCTCGATGGTCCTCGCCGAAGGAAGCATGCGCACGTCCGAGCGATGCCCAAGTTTCTCCATCTTCCTCGTCCTGCTGAGGCTCACCCTGCACGTGCTGCACTGCGGCCCGCTGCTGCCGCCCTCGCGCCCCGCGTGGGCCAGCGCTGCCCCCGCTCCCCGCCGCAGCCGCGCACCACGGCTAGGAACTCTTGCCTTTGGTGTTGGGGATGCCACGACAATGGACACCCCAACAGTCCGCTCTTCGGATCAACAATGCGTTGAACATGTAGGAACATGTACCGAACATGTTCGAAACATGTTTGTTACATGTTTTAAAACAGTTTTAACACATGTTCTAGACATCTGGAAAATAATTGGCAACATGCTTCCCCTCCATTAACCGACCTCCACAATTCTGGCGTGTCGCGGCGGCGGCCCCTGCGACACGCTGTGCCCTGCAAGCGGAGAACGTATCGCTCCGCATCGCGGGTCGGCAGTGCTGCATGCAGCTGGGGGGACAACAAGTACTGATGCCGCCAATTACTCCCCGGACCCCTCCAGGGGTCCATGCTGACCAAGATCTCGAGGAGAGTCCAGCCGTGGCGACGAGGGCTACACAAGACGAGCAGCAGTACCGACACCATCTCCCCCCGTGAGCAGCAGATTTCTTCGCAACCCTCTTCCAAAATCCCCCCTTACCGGAGGGGAAGAAAACGGAGACCATGACCAGGACTGAACGCAGACACGTCGTGCCGACCTTGGTCACCGTCGATCTTAGTCAGCATCAATGCGTGGATCATCCTCGCGGATGGGCGACTGCCGACACGGACCATACCCATCGGTCGGAGGAAGTAGGTAGGAACATGAAGTAGAAAAGCGTTGAAGCTAGATCAGGCTTCCGCGCGCCCCCTGAAGAGGACGGAAAAGGTGAAGCTACTCGATCGTTGGAGTAGGAAGGCGCTTAAAGCAAATTTGACTCTGAGAACCCAAAAATACCTGCGTTCAACGGCCGATGGGTAACGAAGCTCGACATCGACAAGATCCCGTGACATCTTGGTCATGGTCACCGGGCTTCTGCCCTCGGGGGAGGCTGGGCAAGGCCGGGCAGGTTTGGCGCTCGGGAGCTGAGAAGGCGCCCAGAGGGTCGCGCCAGAAGCGTGGTGGGCCAGCACCGGCGGCGCGACACGCTGTCCGAAGTCCCCGACTGCTTATAGTCGGACCTGGGACAGAGGAGCATCCTCCAGGAACATGAGACCCTCCGCCGGCCAGAATACCCCAAACCATCAAATCACTCGAGCATGCCCTCCCCCAGGATGCGCACAAAACATCCAACGAGCCCGAAGAAAATTGGGGTACCCTCCCCGAACCGACCTCGACCTTCTACCTCGGGCCGGCTTGTCATTCTCTGCCTGTGGGCGCGGAGGCCTCCACAATCTTCTCCCGGAAGTGAGCGCCGCCGCCGCCCTGGCTGCCGCCCGCGGGCAGGGAAGGAGAGCACAGCAGGCACACGCGATGAGACGACAACTCTAGAGGAACAAGAACACGGCTACACGCAAGAGTGACCCTGAGTGACCATTGGTGCGCGGCTGTTTGAGGGCCGTTGGGGGCCCAAACACAAGCGCGCAAGACGCTACTATCGCATCGCGTCGGGCCCGCTCCAAAGGTCACTCCGATGAAGGGCCACCCTTACGTGCACTCGAAAAACCCGGCATGAGCATAAACTCTTGCTGGTCCGCGCGGATTTCTTGGATCTGAGCTGAAGCCCCCGCGCGCCAGGGAGGGGCGCGCCAGTGGCGGCGCCGCTCCCTGGCCGCTCCGTTTGGCCCCAGCGTAGATCCAAGAAATCTACACGGAGCTCCAAAAGTTTAGTCCCCACCTGACAAGTTGGGGTTGCTAGATTTCAAAAACCTCTCGACCCGTCCACCCTGCAAACCCCGGCCGCCAGACCCCCAGGCTCCCGAATACCCCCGAGTCCCGCCTTGCGCCCCTCTGCATACCGCGGCCGCCAGATCCCCAGGCTTCAGAATATCCCCGGGAGTCCTGTCTCGCGTCCCTCTGCATTCCGCGGCCGCCAGATCCCCAGGTCCCCCGAGTATCCCCGAGAGTGCCGCTCTGGGCCGACAAATCAGAACATGACAGAGCGGTATAATAACATAGCAGATCAGAGTACAGCACACCGAGACAAGCCACGACAGAACAGCGCATAACACCACGCCACATAACAACACATTTCCGAACGTAGCGTGCCATATCATGCTAGAACGCATCGTAACGTAACGCAGCATGACAAAGCAAACCATACCATAGCACAGCATCACGACAGAGCATTACATAACATGGCAAAGCAAGCGTACCACAACAAACCATTGCATAACTGAACGTACCAAACCAGAACACGCCTCACCCTCACAAAACATGACATATCATAGCATAGCACAACACAACATATCAACGCATGCTATGACATATCGGGGCACACGTACCGTGCCTGAACATATCATATCATGGCATGACATAGAATTTCATAGCATACCATGACAGGACACAACTTGACGTAGCACATCATCCTATCATATATCGCATAACATGTAACATCGCAGCACAGATGGCATACCGTACCTTGACAGAGCGCGGCGTAATATGTTGAATCATATCCTGACAAAACATATCATAACACCATAACCTATGAAATACTTGAGCATACCGAACATAACATCACACCACGCCTCATACATGCCACAACCGAGCCTAGCAGATCATGCGATGCCATAACACACGACATACCATAACATGCCATGCCATGACACAGCACACCGTCGCACACCATCACATCACATGCCACCCCATCGCATGGCAATGCATACCAGGACAGAGCGCGGCATAACACATGATAGCATCGCGAAACCTAACATATTCCAACATGGTAACATAACAACGCATGCAAGACACAACGTAACAGCGCATGCAAAGACATCATGGAGCGTACAGGCCATACCATAACACCACACATCATAGCACACAAGGACAGAGCACACCAGAACATAGCGTAACACAACAGAGCATAACATTTCACACACTGGCATAGCACATCGTAAGATAACACCGAATCACAGCATTTCATAAACTTTCAAAACACTTCACCACAACATACTACAATGTACTACAATGCAGTCGAACGCGACGTGCGCGCCGAGCTCAGGCTGGTCACAAGAACAAGCAGGCGCAGCAACGAATGATCGGACGACAGATCTATCGTGACAAGCGACGCGGCGTCACGCCAGGCCGTCGATAACAAAACAGGCAAGCCAGAACACAATGTAGCATACCGTTACCACATCAACATAAGGTAACGAATAGAGCACACCGTAACCAACATCACATGACATAAACGTTGTACTACTGCTACCTCTACGTCAACGGCCAGATATCGCATGATTCTATAAGTTCCTGCAATATACCACAGTGGACTGAGCATACCCTGAACAGCATCACATCTAATATCATACCATAACCGAACTTGATAGAGCATACGTGTCATGTCATAAAGTGGAGCCACAGAGCAGAGCGTGTCATACCATACCAGATCATACAGTGACAGAGGTGAGCATAACAGAGCATGATTTAACACAATAACACCATAAACTTAAACAAGGAAGCTCATCAAATAAAAGGCGTACGACAACATAATCTAACTCGACGTGCGCGCGCGCGCCGAAGTCAGCCCGGCCACAGGTACAACGAGGCGCAGCAACGACCGATCGGACGACGTAGCTAACGTGACAGGCGTCAAGCCGTGACGCCGTCCCGTGGACAACAGAACATATCAGAGTGTAGCAGAGCATGATAAAACCTTATCGACCATAAAAGAACTCAACACTGCTAAATACAGCAACGATAAATCAAGGGCGCACTAGCACCCGCGCCTGGCCACAGGAAAAACAGGCGCGGCAACGACCGATTAGACGACATATCAAACGCGATAGGCGTCACGGCGTCACGCCGCCCAGTCGAGATCATGACAGAAACGCACATATGTGCATAGAGCAGAACAACACCGAACACAACGCGATAGAGTAGAATTCAGCAGAGACCGATCACTGGCGGCCTGTCAAACGCGACATGCGCGCCAAGCCCAGGCTGGCCACAAAAACAAACAGTAACAACACCGACCGATTAGAAACGATAACAAGAGTGACAAGCGTCACGACGTCACGCCGGCCAGACCACAACATAACATGACATAACGCAATGCCGTATACTACACTGGGGCAGAGTCGAACCGCACATAATAAAGCACACTATTACATACGTACGCGCCAACCACCACTCCACGGCGTCTCATCAAACGCGACCTGCGCCCCGTCGTCAGAGGAGGACGGGGCGTCCAGAGCAGGAGGAAGGAGAGGTCCGCCTCACCTCCTCCTCTTCCTCCTCCGTCGTCCGCCTCCTCGTGTTGCTGCTGCTGCTGCTGCTGCTCATCTTCCTCTTCTAACAGGCTGCATATTCTCTCCGAACAAGTTTGGGGGTCTCGCAAGACTCGTTTTTGGAGCTGGTTTGTCGCTCCAGGGACTTGTCTCGGTTTCTTTTTTCAGGGGCCCTGGGGTTGTCAGACTTTCGGAAAACATCAACTTGCGACCTGGCCTGGCCACCGCGCTGGCCGAGACCGCTGGGCCCCGCGCACATTGTTCCAGCAGGCGCGCGAATCGTTGGGAACACACGCCGAAGGTTTCGGTGGGGATCGCTCGAAGAAAAATATGTTTTCCCTGAGCTCGCATCAACTATCTCGGATGCGCGGATCTGCTCAACGCCCCGCCACGCGCGTACGGCGTAAGCCACCGGCCAAAAAGTTGGACAATCCGAGTGATCCTCGTCTGTTGCTGGTCAACATCTCGCTGCGCACTGAGGCATCGCGGGTCCAAAAGGTCGACATGTCAGCAAGCCTCACCTCGCTGCGCACTGAAGCATCGCGGGTCCAAAAGGTTGACATGTCAGCAAGCTTCGAGCTGGATCAGACACAAACGGGAGCGGTGGAGTTAAGACTCCGGGACAGCGACCTGCGAGGAGGCACCAAACCAGCCAGACCGTGGCAGAGCCGGACGGAACGCTGCTCCGTGAGGGGCACGCCGCGCGACACCCGGCCTGCGGCTGGCCGACTGGGACGGCCGGTGGCTGTACTGCACTCAGGGGTGTTTTGAGTCCATGGGCATCATTACGCACTTGACCTCCGTGTAATTCTCCAGCGCGTACTCGCCCTTGTCGCGCCCCCAACCGCTGGACTTGTAGCCACCGAAGGGGCATGCCATATCGAAATTATCGTAGCAATTGATCCACACAGTGCCTGCGTTCAAGTCATGGGCAGTAGCGAGGGCCGTACCGACGTCCCGCGTGCAGAGGCCTGCAGCAAGGCCATAGTGCGTGTCGTTTGCGCGGGTGATGGCCTCCTCGAGAGTCTTGAACTTCATGAGCTGCATGACTGGGCCAAAGATCTCCTCCCTAGCAATTGTCATGTCATCTTTCACCTCGGAGAAGACCGTTGGTGCGACGTAGTAGCCCTTATCACCAAGGCGGTTCCCACCCAAGAGACACTTGGCTCCCTCTGCCTTTCCAGTTTCGATGTAACTGAGGATCTTATCGAATTGGATCTTGTCCACCTGAGGACCGAGATCGCATATCGGCACTGCCGTCTCTGAGGTGGTATCACCTTGCACGCGGAGGGTCTTCGCCTTCTCCATGACCTTGGCCACGAAGGCGTCATGCACATCCTCGTGGATGTAGATGCGGCTAGAGGCGCAGCAGCACTGGCCCATGTTGACAAATAGGCCGACGTGGCAAGCGATGACTGCCTGGTCGAGGTCTGCGTCCTTGCAGATAATCATGGGGGATTTGCCGCCGAGTTCCAAACTCACCTTCTTCAGATTTGACTCCGCAGCTGCGATTGCGATTTTCCTGCCAGTTCCGGTGCTACCAGTGAAAGCGACTTTAGCAATGCCAGGGTGGCGCGCAATCATGTCTCCTGTCATGCCTGGACCGTTGAGCATGTTCACGACACCAGGAGGGAAGCCAGCCTCCTTGAAAAGGGCCATTATCATCATGCCAGAGAGGGGCGTCTTCTCACTAAGCTTCATGACGCATGTGCAGCCCATTGCCAAGGCTGGGGCCAGCTTCCAGGCCTGCATGAGAAGAGGGAAATTCCAAGGAATGATCATGCCACACACACCAACAGGTTCGTGGGTCGTGAAGGCGAAGGTGCTCCCAGTGTCACGGGTGGTGTTGATGACCTTGCCTCCGCCCTTGTCCGCAAAGCCGGCAAAGTAGCGGTAGCACTCGATCACAAAGCCGATGTCCACGCCGTCGGCAACATGCTGGGGCTTCCCGTTGTCTAGCGCCTCGAGCTCGGCCAACTGGACGCGGTGCTTCTCGATGAGGTCCGCAAGCCGCAGCATCATGCCACGCCGATCGCAGCCGTTGCTCTTCTTCCAAGTTTTGAAAGCTATAGTGGCGGCTTCCACTGCAGCGTCCACGTCTTCCTTGCCAGCCTCTTGCATGTGGCAAATAACTTCCTCCGTGCGTGGATCCACCGTGGGGAACGTCTTTTTCGATTTTGCGTCCACAAACTCGTTGTTGATGAAGAGCCTCGTCTCACGCACCAGTCCACCGATCCTTGCTTCAGGTGCAAACACCATAGCAGAACACAGAGACAGATAATCGCCGCAAAGAAGCGTTGGCAAAAAAATATTGAGCCGAAACGGCTTGAGCCAGTGTTGTTCAAAACCGACAGCGGCGGCTGTTGCGCAGGCCGCCTTCTGTCACAAATGGACATCGCCCGCGGCGGCGCGGACAACGAATCATGTTCAAAACGGGCTGGAACTGCTGCTAAATATCGTACCCATTCTTTCCGTACATGTTTCGTTCGTGCCGAACCTCTGCGCAGCGTCTGAGTGACGACGGTGGGTCCAAAGAACGAGGCCCGGGGGCGGAAGGCTCCCTTGACGAACCGCGAGCACCAGTCCTCATGGATAATTCCCCGAGCTCGGAACATGCCAAACTCGTGCAAAAATTGGCCCACGCTGCACTGCCCTCCGACGGAAATATCGGCCAAAGCCCATGGGACACTGCCGCTGTCCCCCCTCCCCCATTTGCCCGCCCGCCCCCCCCCCGCCCCTCCACCTCGCCAGCGTCGAGAGGGGGGGTCGCATGCTGACGCGCGCTAAGCTGACGCCTCTGAGTATGGGGGGAGTTCGAATATTGGCTTCCCTCGTCCCCCGTCCTCATCCATACACTTTCTCCTCCTCATCCCTTGCTCCTCCGATTGTTGTCCACCTCCTGCTCCTGCTCCTCCTCCTCCTCCTCCTCCTCCTCCTGTTGTTCCTCCTCCTCTTCCTCCTCCTCATCCTCCTCGTCACCAGCACCAGCAGCACCACCACCACCACCGCCACCATCATCATCATCATCATCATCATCATCATCATCATCATCAGCATCATCAGCATCATCGCCAGCATCAACATCATCATCATCATCATCAACATCATCATCCTCACCATCATCCTCATCATCCTCATAATCCTCATCCTCCTTATCATCACGATCATCAACACCATCACCACCACCATCGTCGTCATCATCGTTGTCGTCATCACCATTATCAATACCATCATTATTATCATCATCATCATCATCATCATCATCATCATCATCAGTAGGACAATCATCCTCTCAACATTATCGGTATCATAACCAAACTCATCATCTCCCACCTTCTCCTCCACCTCCCTCCCGGCTTCTTGTCTCCTCCCTCCGACTGTGAACTCCCTCTCCTCCTCCTCCTCCTCCTCCTCCTCCTCCTCCTGATTGTCCTGTTCCCATTATGCGGCTTCGTCAAGCCTCCTCGCTTCGCCACTCCGAGTATCCTTAGATTCCTACTCATTTCCAGACTGATTCTCAGACGCGTCGGTAGGGCAGACCGGGCCTTTCGCATGAGACTTCCCCACCATGTATGAATTTGAAGAATGTGGCTCTGGCCTTCGCGCCGCGCACACTCGCCTGAAAGGCTTGCAGCAATTTCCAAGATGAAGGGTGGTTCCTTTCCAGAAGGCTTCTCTCGCCTGGGCGCCGCGCACGTTCGTCTTGGACATTTCCAGCGGCTTTGAAGATGGAGGACCGCTCGTTTTCAAATGTGGTTCCCACCTTCTCGCCAGATACATCGGTCTCACAAATTTGCAGCAATTTCAAATGTCGTGGACGATTCCTTTTCAACCTGTGTCTCTCGTCTGGGTGCCGCGCACGTTCGTCGTGGAGAATTGCAACAATTCCAAAGATGGAGGGCGGTTCCTCTTCAAAATGTGGCTGTCGCCCAAGCGCCGCGCACAGTCGTTTGAAAAGGCAACAGCAGTTTCAAAGATGGAGGGGGGTTCCTTTTCAAAAAATGGCTGCCGCCTTAGCACAATGTGAATTGTGTCTGAAAGTTTGCAGCAGTTGCAAGAACGCGTATGGGTGGAGTACCAAGAAAGGCTTTCTTGTACGACGTAGATCTGTCATGATGCAATGTCACGTTGGTTCGCGGCGTCAAAATCCCAGGAATTGCGTTTTTGGTGTGATTGATGATGGTTATCAAACGGTTGTCTTCCAATGTAGCGCTTCCCACAACGAAAATCCGCCGACCCTGTCGGCGTGTGGAAGGCGCATCCTGGTGTCGTCGTCTTGCGTGGATCACCGTCGTCGTCGTCGTCGTCGTCGTCGTCGTTGCCCGAAATAAATGGAAATCGAACACGAAACATAAGGAAATCGTAGTCGTGGCGAAGCCCCTCCCTACCCTCCCCACCGGGGGGATGGTGGGGGGGTGGGGGTGGGGTGGGGGGGGCAGATACGCATCCCCCGGGCGACCCTCTCCCTCCCTCTCCCCCTACTCCTCCTCCTCCTCCTCCTCCCTCCTCCTCCTCCTCCTCCTCTCCTCCTCCCTCCTCCTCCTCCCTCCTCTCCTCCTCCTTATCCTCCTCCTCCCCCCCTCCTCCTCCCTCCTCCTCCTCCTCCTCCTCCTCCTCCTCCTCTCCTCCTCCTCCCTCCTCCTCCTCCTCCTCCTCCTCCTCCTCCCCCCTCCTCCCCCCTCCCCCTCCCTCCTCCTCCTCCTCCTCCTCCTCCTCCTCCTCCTCGTCCCCTTCCTCCTCCTCCTCCTCCTCCTCCTCCTCCGCCGCCTCTTCCGCCACGTCTTCATTTACCTCCGACGTCTTATCAGGCATCCCGTCACCCTCGAGGACCGAAGTATCCAGGGTCGGCGGCACTGACCGCACGGCCTTAGCAATAAACTCTGGTAGGACACAGTGGAAAGGGAACTTGGGAAGACACTCTTTTGCAACATCGCTGATGCATCTTGGGTTTGCACTGGATCTCCTCCTGCTCGTGCCGTCCAGTCCCATCCCGTCCACTCTGGAAGCGGATGATGCTCGGCGGCGGAGCGGGGACGGAGTCGAAACTCAAGCAAGGGGTGCGGCGGCGGATGCCTCCTCCTCCTCCCAGGGATGCGCTGAATGAGAAAGAGAGGGCCGTGAACTCTGCGAGCCTTTGCTGCCGTGGCCATGATGTTCACATACCCCTATATCTCGGGGAGCAGGTACAGGTTCGTGTGGCGACGACCAAGGCGTTGGTCGCCTGACACAGCGTGGATCGTTCAACCTTGAACGGCCGTGGCATTCCGATAGCGCAAGCCGTTCGACATCGGCCGATCCGGGGCCACTGGCGGCGTTCCACCTTGAACACCTGCGCCGGGGTCGCCGCCGCGTCGACACGGAACGAGCCTGCCGTAGAGGCCTCCTAGATGGGGTCGGAGTAGATGGGGTCGGAGGATCGCGCCGCATCGCTGATACATCGGCGATACATCGCCGATGCATCGGCGCCGTCTGCGTGTATAAAATCGGGCTCCACATCGAGCCACATCGACGATGCATCGACAATGCATCTGCGATGCATCGGCGATGCGGCGAGATCCTCCGACCCCATCCACTCCGACCCCACCTGGGAGGCCTGGGGCAACCACCAGATGGGGGGGGTCAACCGATCCCCTCCGATCCCCTCTGGCCAGCCCGGGCTTGGGAGAGCCACCTGTGGCGCCGACCCTCCCCTCCCCTCCGTCCGCGGACCTGGGCGCGGGAGCTATGCGAGTCGATGCCGCTCTGGGCTCCGGCCAAAGCTGCTCCTCGTTCCGTGAACCTCGACCCCCAGGAGCTCGCCGTCGCTCGGACTTCCATTCCCTGTGCATCTTTCGGTGCCGTGCGTGTGTTTGTTGGCCCGATGGCCGAGGATGCTTCTCAAAGATCCGCGCCGAGAAACAATGCACACGTCCTAGCGATGCCAAGGGAGGAGCTGGCGCCGTCCCCCGCGTGGTGCCCCCCTTGGTGTGGGCTGGTCTTCCATCACCCCGAGTGCACGACCGTCATTGCTGCTGCTCCTACTCATGCCACGCGCCACGCCCGATGCTGGGCACTCTGCCCGTGAGGGGTGTGTCTCTTAGTCTGTTTCACAGGTCGCCGCCTTTATTCTTACAAGCTGTCCTCGTCTCCCTCCCATCAATAGGGCGAGCGTCTCTTCGAGTCGCCCCGCTGGACATGCTTGCTTGATGGCTTGTTGGCTTTCTGCTCCTGCTCCTGCTCCTGCTCCTGCTCCTGCTCCTCCTCCTCCACCTCCTCCTCCCTCGTCTTCGCCTCCTCTTCCCCCGCGGAACACACTGTTGCGAACGCGACAGGAGGCTGCATTCACGGCACACTTACTGCAGACCACGCCTCCAAGAGCAGGCCGGACTGGACTGGACTGGTCTCCGTCTCCTTCTACTCCTGCCTGGTCCATTCCCTCCTCCCTCAGCCTCCCCTCCCCCAAAGTGAAAATTTAACATCACGAGGCGGGAGGGGGCATTGAAGGCGGGGCGCGCATGTGACGGGAGGGAGGGGAGATGCAGCGCAGAGGAAAGTTAGAGTAGGTGAGGGATGGAGACGAGTGAGGAGAGGATGAGGAGAAAGAGGAAGGGAAAGAGAGAGAGAGAGAGAGGAATGGTGAACGGGAGAGCAGACGGGGATCGGGCAAAGGAGGGGGGAAAAGGAGGTGAGGAGGAGACGGAGGAAGAGGAAAGAGAGAGGGAGGAGGGAGGGGGGCGGGGGCTTTGCCGCCCAGCCTTGATCAAGTTCAGGGCGGGGTCCACGGCGTCGGCTCCATCGATCGCCTGAGGAAAACGCGGGCACGAGAAGACGGCAGGGGGCTTCGATCATAAAAATTGTTTGGGATGGGAAGACGTGCAGCAGCATCGCTGGTGTGTCCTGGATTGGCCAAGGTCCACCACGCATTCCTCCCTTATCTCCCCCGCGCGCGCGGGGGGGAGCGGGAAGAAGAGGAGGAGGAGGAGGAGGAGGAGGAGGAGGAGGAGGAGGAGGAGGAGGAGGAGGTAGGAGTGAGGGAGGATGGGAAACCCTTCGTCCTCCCTCCTTCTTCTCCCTCGACCCTTCCTTCTCCCCCCCTCGACCCCGTCTCTCCTCCCTCCACCCCTCCTCCACATTTTCCAATCACCAACTCCTCCTGTCTCCCCCCCACCGCACGCGCAGGGGGAGAAGTGGCGCGGGGTGGGGGCAGGAGGGAGGAAGAGGAGAAAAGTGAGGGAGAGGGCGAGCAAGCAGAGGATAGTTATCCTGAGCGCACTTTTTCTGCCAGTGCAAGAAAAGATTGAGCTCGCCAGGATCCTGCCTTCGGGGCAGGCCACCCCTGCAAGTCAGGCTTCAGGCCGGGGAGGCCGAGGAGGTGGAGGTCGGAGCGAACAGGAGGGGCCCCGGCCCCATGGTCGCGGCACCTGGTCAGAGTGTTGCAAGGAACGCCAGCATGCCATCCTCTGATGCGACCTGCAAGCGTCCAGAACCGGACGGGCGAGCGATTACAGGGCCGAGAAAGGTCATGCTTCTCTCCCAGCGACGTGCCCCACATAAGCACTGGCATGCCTAACTGGGCCACAGTTTTAACGAAACCACCGGTTCCCGATCACAGATCTGAAATCACTGGCGGGCGAGGCGAACGGGCGCTACTGGCGAGGGCAGGCCGCGGCGTGACTGGCTCAGATTCACGGCGCACACCTCTGCGCGCCGGCGCTGCGCGGCGGGCAGATTGTGCAGCGGCTCGGTCAGCCGTCCGCCTTTCTCGCACCTCCTGACCGAGCTCCACGACTTCCAGCGGCCCCGGCGCCTGATCTGCCCGAGGTCCTTCAGCGACGCCGCGTAGTCGTGGCTTGGGCCCGAGTGGCGCAGCTGGTAGACGTGGCAGGCACCGAGCTTCGCCAAGCCGAGCGCCTTCACCGCCTTGCGCCAGGCGTCCGCCACCTCGCGCTGGCTGACAGCGACGAGAGGCGCGGCAGCAGGGGCTCCCCCGCGGCGGCGCGCCGCCGCCATCGCCAGCAGCCCCTCGGCGAGGCCCGCCTGCCTGTCGAGATCCAGCCGCACCGAGGCGTCGAACTCGCCTGTCTTCGAGACGTCGCCGACCTCCTGCGCGCGCAGCGTCACCGAGACGTAACGATGGGCTCCCGAGGCAGCAGCCGACGGCGGCACCGCGTCCTGAAGCCGCAGCCCGTGAATCTCTCCTGGGCGCTCCGATGATGCGATAGATAGTTGACTATCATGGCGACGACCTCGTACGGCAGGGCCATGCGGCTGCGAGGCCGCGCGAGGTTGCGCCATCCCTCGGCGGCCTGCTTCGCGAGCGGCAAGTCGAGGGGCCCCATCTTCGCATAGCGCGGATCGCGCCAGGCTGCTGCCGCTATCACGCGGTTGGCACATGTCTGGTGGTAGCTCTGCTCGAAGAGGTGGTTGAGGTAGTCGCGCACGGCCCTGTCGAGCTGCGCCGGGTCGCTGGTGGCGCGGCACCTCTGACTCACCCAGGCGTCGAAGCCCTTCAGCATGCCGGTGCAAGCCTGGCGGCCCGCAGCGGTCCTCACCGACGCCGCGTTGAGCGCAGGCATGCCTGGCGGCGGCTCGATCAGGCGCGCCCTGCCGCGCCATAGACTGAGCGCTCGAGCCCGGGCGGCTATCTGACAGGCCGCGCGCGCCAGCGTCGCCGCCGCCGGGCGCGCGTCCGAGGCTGCCGCAGGACGCTCGCGCGGATAGCCCTGGAGGAGCCCCGAGCTCATCACTGGCAAGAGCGAGAGCACTGCTGCAGGAGCGAGTGCCGCAACGCATGGAAATATACGAATCGTTCTCGGGCCCCGAGGCGGCCGAGGGCGGACGCGGCGACGACGTCCCAAGACTCCCTTGGGATGGCCATCTTCGGGGCCGCAGCGCTCTAAGTGCTCCTCCTCCCCCGCCGTGTCATAGTGCTCGTAGTGCGGTGTCTGACCAAGAGAGTGATGATGTGCTCCACCTCCGTGCAGGTCATTGCCGTGCTCTTGTTCGCGCTGACCTCCACCTCCTTCGCGCGCGCGCTGACATCTGTGTCCGTGCGAGGCGACAACCTTGTCTATGACGAGGGGGCCCTGGAGGCTCGCGGGCTCGGAGGACTTGTTGGGGCCTTCCTTAAATGCAATTGCCGACGGCAGGCTGGGACCTCCTCGGCCCCTCGACGGGCCACCAGCCACATTGTACTCAGACGGGATCCAACGTGCACAGAAAAAACTCCCCGAAGCCAACGAGAGGGCACCTGTGCGACGCATGATGGAGAACAGGGTGCGAGTGTGAGCCCGCGTCCTGGAAGCAGCAGAGACAGGCGCCAACGAATGTCCCCAGACGAGCAGCCCCTCACCATGATCCGGGGAAGCCCGCAGCGAATGGCGAACATGATAGAGAACAGCACGGGCCTCAAGCACAGGCGCCCCCTCGAGACGATCCCACTTCCGGCGACCTGCGACGCGCCATGAACAATTTTGCAAATGTTTCTTGGCAACCTCGGGAGAGGCCAGGAAGTCACGCTCCACAGGTGGGCCGACGGGCTGGCAGTCGCGTCGGCGGCAGACTCGGCAGCGCGGGCGCGAAGACGAGGAAGCAAGCGCTCAGCCCTGCCATAGCGCCACCTCTCACTATGACGCCCGACCTCCCGAACAGCGGCCACTTCCCACTCGGCGTCGCAGGCGCCCAACCCCCAAGGGGAGGCGTCAACGCAGCCGACAGTAGGGGGCCACTGAGCATGGAGATCACGCCACAGTAGGGGGGCAACGCCATCCCAGGACATGGGCCCCTGCCTAACCTGAGACCAGAGGGGCACCTCCTGGTGGTAGCACTTGTGCACAAAGCGGAAGCACGACTCGAGAATGCTGAGCCCCTCGCGGCGCGCGAGAGTGACGAAGATGATGTGGCTAGCACGCGCTCAATGTCCCGGCCAGAAGCACGACCTCGCCGTGGGAGACCTCGGACCGCAAGACGAACTCGCCAGAGCCTGGACGCCGAAGCCGAGAGGCGGCCCGAACTCGTGATCGACCACCCCAGCACGGCATACTCGCCCTCGTTGCCACCGAGGTGCGCTTCATGCGTGACGACCAAGCCGCGACGCTTCAGCTCCTGCATGACGTTGGAGACCGCCGTCCTGACAGCCGTCGCGTCGTAGCCGATGCTCGCGAAGTCGCCGACGTACTCGAGGTGGCACGCGGGGCCCAGCGCTGGGGCAGGGCGCCCTTCGCGAAGTCGCGAGGCACCATCGCACCTGGCAGCTTCGGCGACGCGGCCCATCACCGACTGGCACCGCCACGTGGCCCACGACCAGCCCATGGGGGCCACCCTCAAGCGCGGGCAGAGCTTGGTGGACGCCTGAACACTCTTGCCCCCGAGGCTGTCGACGCCGATGGCACCGGCGCGAACAGGCCTGAGGGTGAAATAAGAGCGCAGCTCCTCCGGCAGCTCCAGGTGGTAGAAGGCGTCCTTCAGGTCGGCGCCCTCCGCAGTGAGCAGAGCATCGTCGCCAGCCGTCTCCGGGGGCCCGACGGCGTCGCCAATGGCCAGGCGGACGCCCAGGGGCTCGGCGGAGCGACGGCAGTCGGCAACCATGCGGAGGCGACCGCCCTTCTTCTCGACGAAAAAGACCTCGGCCCTCGCGCCATCCTCCAGGTGGAAGTCGGCGAGGTGCCGCCCATATAAGAGTTGAACAAAACTAGACCAACGCCGCTGATCACGTGGAAGAGGATCAGAGTAGGGCACAGGTACTGAGCTGTGTCGCAAACGGGCAGCCGCCACGCTCGGATCGAGCACGCTCGGCGGAACGATATGTTCGCCCTCGGCTTGCCCGCCCCCCCCCCCCCCCCCCCGCGCGTCGGCCAGCGGCGCGGCGGGGGCGGAACTGGCGCCCGGCAAGGAGAGGAGCGCGGGGTCGTAGCCCCCGAAGGGCGACTGCTCGACAGCGCAGGCGCCCCCGGCCACGCGAAGCTGCACCAGCGCTTCTGCGGGAGAAGAAGGCGCGGCGCCAAGATGCCGAACCGACTCCTCGATGTGGGTGCGGCGCGAACTCTGAGCAAGTGACGGGTCCGCATATCTTGCATTGCGGTCGCGACCGCGCGTCAAGGATGGATCACGCAGCCAAGTCAATGAGTCCACAGCGCGGACCACATCGTTACAGACAGCGATCCTCTTCCCCAGCCCCATCCGCGCCCCTCTGGCGAGCGAAGCAGCAGCAGCCTTATCCAGCGGCTCGGCAGCAGGTGGGTACGGCAAGGGAAAGATGTCCCGGGGCCGACGTCCCCCAAAATCGTGGACGTCCTGAGCGATGGTGGGCGCGCCGTGCGGGCCCTGACGGATGGGGTTCCGATCGCGCCTTGCCCCCCCCCCCCCCCTCCGAAGCCAAGGCGGGCAACGGCCTCAGCCATTTTTGAGCCTGGACTCCCGCTCCTCGCGGGCCAGGCGCAGACTCCTGTGCAACTTCGCCTCCCTTTCAACGTCACCGCGCACGTGCTCAATCAGGTCGGGCGGGACCATCACCGAAGACGTGGATCGGGAGACCCCCGAGAACGCGGCATGCTCCTCCAGACTAATCTTGCCCCCAACGCGCTTGCTCTCGGCGTCCTTCGCCTTGTCCCAGTGAGCGAACTCAATGGTCTGGAGCCTCCTGAACTTCATCTCGATGCTGATCAAGTTCGTGCCATCCAGGAGGTCCTAGCACGTGGCGGCCTTGATCTGCTGGCACAGCTGATAGTGCTCTTGGACGCCCCAGTCGGTGGCGCCCAGCTTGCAGATCTGGCGGAAGTGCTCGCGGTGGCCCCCGATGCCGAGGCCCTCGCGCTGCAGGTAGCTCATGCGCCATCCAGCGGTCCGCGGCCCCGGCAGCGCCCAGTCCGATCCGAAGTCCTCCCGGCGCGCCATCTCCACCATCTTGTGCCACGGCGCGTCTCGACGGCCCTGCGCATCGCGGACGATCGGCAGGATCCTCGCGTCCGCGTCGACCGCCTTGCGCAAGAATGACTCCAGCGCTGCGGGCGGCACCAGCTCGACGAAGAGCCCCTGGCCGTCGGGCAGCACGTGGATGTCCCTGTCCTGGATGCGGGCCGCCGTCGGAACGTGGCCAGGCACTTCGTCGCCGATGCGGTAGCCACCCTCGCAAGCCGCGGCGCGCCACACGCCCGCCGGGTCGCAAGCGGCGGGGCCGCCCCCAGCGGGCACGGCGCCCCTCAGCAAGCCCAAGGCGGGACCAGCTGGAGCCACAGGCGCCACCGCGAGGCCGCCCCCAGGCGCAACCAGCGGCCGCAGTTGGCGAGCAAGCCAAGGTTGCCAACTGCCTGAGCCTGACGACGGCACTCGCCTATCGCCACCTGCCCGGCCTCCAGCGACAGCTGCGCAAGCTCGGCGTCCGTGGGCTCGGCGCGGAACCTGTGCACCTGGTTGGCGGCGATCCCGGGCGGCGGAGGATCGAAGCTGCCGAACCTCGCCGCCTGCACATCAGGATTGTTGGCGAGGGCGACGATGTACAAATCACCGTCCGCCGCATAGATGACGTGGTCAGCTTCCGACAACGCCACCCGGCCCAGATTCAACTGCTGGTGCCAGAGCACCTCGCCTGCGTAAAAGACGTACGCCCATCGTGTCGTCGCGACTGCCGCCATCGTCCAAACCAGCGAAGCCACGGCTGCGGGGGCGGGCGTCCCTCCTGAGCGCCGCGCAACAGCACCCGAAGCAGGCCGCCGCGAACACGAAGCCGACCGCGCCGCCCACCAGCGCCGAGGCCAGCGCACGCGCGTCGACCGCCGCGTCGGCGACCACGCCGCCAGCCGCGCTCGCAGGGGCGGCCTCTGGCGCGGCCGAGCCAGGCGAGGGCTCAGACGCCGCGCGCGGGGCGCACGCCGGGCACGCGCACGCCGGGCAAGGGGCAGCCGCCGGGCAGCTGACAGGCGCCGCCTCCGCGCACGGCGGGATACGGAGGGCAAGATGGCACCTGCGGGCACCTGGCCAGGTAGGAGACTACGCCAGTCAGGGCGTGGTTGGTGAGCCTCTCCCACATAACTCAAGACTTGAGCAACCCAAACGGCGGCGGCCCAAAGAGAGCATCGGGAACTCGTGAAATCACGACGATGTAAATAAGTCGAAGTTCTTGTTGTTTGGGGGGTCCATGGGTTCTAGGGGAGCCTCCTCCTCCTCTCAAGTCTTTCAGACTTCTGGTCCTCGTCATCCTCCTGGCCCTTTTCCGAAAACTCCTTCTCCTCCTCCTCCTCCTCATGATCTACCGTCCTCCTCTTCCTACTCCTGCCGCTCCAGACAGACACTGCTATCAAGCCAATATGCGCATGAGGACAATCGAGGCTCCGTGACCAACACGAATATGCTCGCTTGCTCGCACGCCAGCCCCGAATACTGCGATGAGTCTAACGTCTCGCGACTGGTGGAGCCACGGCCATCCCTCACCTCCTGAATTTACCCCTTCGCATCCTCCCGCGTCTACTCCTCCTTCTCCTACCCTTCCTCATGCTTCTCCTCCGCATCAACCTCCTACTCCTCCAGCTCGGCCCAAGCCGACGTGTCCTGATGTCATCAGCGGTGCCCCAATCGGCGCAATTGCCGCCGCACGGTGGGCACCAGCAGTGCAATTCCCCCCCTGGCGGAGCGTCCACGAGCCACCTACGCACGCCAAGTTCAGTTCCCATGCGGGAGAACGTCCACCAAGCTTGCACCACCTGGTTGACCATTTGTTGTGCTCTGCCGCTGGCTGCTGGCGCCATGGGGGGGGAGTGACGGGGTCGGGCTGGAGAGGTGGTTGGGAACGGGAATGCGACGGAAAGGCCGAAGAAGCTGGGCGAACAGCGAGCAGGACGAGTGACGGACGACAGGAGAGCATTGAGGGCGCAGCTGAGGCCGCACACCACATCCACGACCGGGTGGCTGTCCATCGTGGCCAGAGGGATGCCCAGACCCTCTGCCTGCTCTCTGGTGCGCTTGGAGGTCGGAATGGCCACGATGTCCTTCGTGCGACACGGCTGGCAAACAGACAGGCCGGTCCAACGACGCTGGATGCCTCTGAGACGCCGCTGCAACATCCTCAGTCCGTTACGCTACGTCTCCATTCGCATCTACATGCTCGATCGGTTTGAGCCTGGCGAGCGTTTTCTTATTCGGCGTTTCGACATTGGGCGGAAGGGGGGGTGGGAGGGGGGGCGGTATGGCTCTGGACCTCTGCTTAATGGGACTGTCTGCAGCAGTGTGTCCCATGGGGGAGGCTCCACCTGCGTGAAACAGGCGCCCCAAACAGCCAAGAGCCAAGATCTACTCCATGGGGGGAGGGGGGGAGGGAGTGCGAGGGCCCGCGTGGATCGGAAAAACAACGAATCAGAAAACGATCACCTGGGCACGCGCGCGCAGCTAACCCTGAAAGGTCTTTCAAGCCCCCACCAATCAGGGGTAACTAATTATTTAATCGCTTCGCTCATTCCGCCGGCCCGTATTGGTGCACGGCTGTCGAGTGCCCGTGTGATCGTTGTCAATGGGGTGCTGCTGGGTCGTTTTTGTGTTTATGGATGGCTGGCTTTGGGTGATTTCGCAAGCGGCAACCATTCTTTGCCCGCCTGAACCCTCTGTTTCGGAAGGTGGCGGCTCGTGAATACGATCGCAGGGAACAAGACAACGTTCTGCAGTTTCCTTTTTGCATTATTCGGGCCCCTTGTCGCCTTTTGGGGCCTCTTGGGGGCCTCTTGGAGCCTCCAGGAGGCCTCTTGGAGCGGAAGGCTCTGATTATCGGTTCGTGGTCTCCTTGTTGGGCCCCTCTTGGGGCCCTCTTGGACCGTCTCGGGCGCCTCTTGGGCTGTCGTGGGGCTCTCTTGGACGGTGATGGGCCTCTCTTGGAGGCCTCTTGGGCCGTCTTGGGGTGGTCCTGGAAGCTTTTTGGGCCGTCTTGGAGCGTCGGAAAGGCGAAAAGGCGAGGAAGCCAAAAACCTTGAAAAACCCAATGGAAAGCAATGGTTTTGGCGCTCTGAGGCGTCGTGGACGTTCATTGGGATCTCGTTGGATGCCTCTCGAAGGCTTCTTGGAGACTCTCGGGAGTCGTTGTCGAGCCTCTTGGGGTCTCTTTCGGGCCCCTTGTCGCCTTTTGGGGCCTCTTGGGGGCCTCTTGGAGCCTCCAGGAGGCCTCTTGGAGCGGAAGGCTCGGATTCTCGGCTCGTGGTCTCCATGTTGGTCCCCTCTTGGGGCCCTCTTGGGGTCCTTTTGGACCGTCTCGGGCGCCTCTTGGGCTGTCGTGGGGCTCTCTTGGACGGTGATGGGCCTCTCTTGGAGGCCTCTTGGGCCGTCTTGGGGTGGTCTTGGAAACTTCTTGGGCCGTCTTGGAGCGTCGGAAAGGCGACAAGGCGAGGAAGCCAAAAACCTTGAAAAACCCAATGGAAAGCAATGGTTTTGGCGCTCTGAGGCGTCGTGGACGTTCATTGGGATCTCGTTGGATGCCTCTCGAAGGCTTCTTGGAGACTCTCGGGAGTCGTTGTCGAGCCTCTTGGGGTCTCTTTCGGGCCCCTTGTCGCCTTTTGGGGCCTCTGGGGGGCCTCTTGGAGCCTCCAGGAGGCCTCTTGGAGCGGAAGGCTCGGATTCTCGGCTCGTGGTCTCCATGTTGGGCCCCTCTGGGGGCCCTCTTGGGGTCCTTTTGGACCGTCTCGGGCGCCTCTTGGGCTGTCGTGGGGCTCTCTTGGACGGTGATGGGCCTCTCTTGGAGGCCTCTTGGGCCGTCTTGGGGTGGTCCTGGAGGCTTCTTGGGCCGTCTTGGAGCGTCGGAAAGGCGAAAAGGCGAGGAAGCCAAAAACCTTGAAAAACCCAATGGAAATCAATGATTTTGGCCTCTTGGGGCTCTCTTGGAAAGGGTCGGGGCTCTCTTGGGACTTCTTGGAAGCTTCTTGGGCCGTCTTGAGGCTGTGTTGGGCGTCTTGGGCCGATCGTTCGGTGATTCGGAACCCTCTTGGACCGTCTTGGAAGCCTGTTGGGGCCCTCTTGGCGCGCTCCGGGGAGCGTGGAAGGCCGCACCCAGGAGGAAAACCGTCTCTGACCCGAGTTTGCCGGGAATGTCCCGGGACCTTGCCGGGGTACTTGCCGGCCGGGGACCCCCAGGGGCCGCTCCGCGCGCGCGAAGTATAGAGTTATTGTTAACCAGTTACCGGAGATCTTAGCACGCCTCTGGCCCGTTGGGCCAGCGAATTTGTTCGGCGGCCTTGTTGGAAGACTGGGGTCCCACGAATAAGGGGCAACTGATTCTTCTTTTCTGCGGCACCCGCCGCGCCGATGACAGCTACGACTACGATTGCGACTACGGCTACACGGCTACTACTACTACTACTACTACTACTACTACTACTACTGCTGCTACTACTGCTACGACTACTACTACTACTACTACTACTACTACTACTACTACTACTACTACTACTACTACTGCTACTGCTACTGCTACTGCTACTGCTACTGCTACTGCTACTGCTACTGCTACTACTACTACTACTGCTACTACTACTACTACTACTACTACTACTACTACTACTACTACTACTACTACTACTACTACTACTACTACTACTACTACTTTATGCCTCAGGAGTACTCCCACGGAAAATCGGAGCTCAGAAACTCGATCCTGCTCAGTAGCTCGAACCTCTCTTAAGTCCGACTGGATAGGGGCGGACAATAAACATAACAAACACATAATCAGGCGCACACCATCGCAACGCGGTTTCCGCCCATGCCCACCTTGCCGTGACACAAATGCAAAATTCGTCCTGGTTCTCTGGTTCTGTCATAACAACACGACGTTCGCATTGCACTTCTCCGAGAAGCCTCTGCGCCGGAACATCATCGGGGCGTCTTGCTGCACGAAGGTGAGCTTTGGGCAATGCACGAGTACCAATAATGCAACATGGTAGGTGCGCACAAAAGGAAGTATGGTGCGGAAAACGGCACATATCCCCAGGCCGAAAGTTTTTCCTCTTGGGCTAAACAAATGAGAACCCCGATGGATCCAATTGGATCCGTTTTCGGGTGTGCGACACTGTGGTGGATCTTCTTTCTGTCTTACGCGGATCCGATTTCCCGTGTGTGACAAACCAATGGGCCCATTCATTTGCCGGGGATAAATCTATAATAATTGTTATCATCAAGGGCCCAAGGGGAATGGGATCAGCGGGGCACCGCACGTGAAGCACCATGCTACCACGGAACTGCGGATCTGCTGACCAAAGCTATGATTCTACGGGGGAGTGGGGGGTCTTCCTAGCGGAGAGGGGAAGGAGGAGGGAGGAGGCACGACACCGAAGAGAGCGCTGCATGTATCCGCTCACCTGAAGGGCACGTCGCTTCCGACATTTGGGGCTCAAGGGGGAAATCTCTCGGCCTGCGGAAGTATTCGGGTTTAGCAGCGAGGGTGAGGGCCAGCATGCATGCACATTCTCAGTTCTTGCACGCGCGTTCGCTCGTGCGCTCTGCCACCGTCATCCCACGCATGCGCGGAAGAAGAGTACGCGGTAGCATGAGTAGCGTGAGACAGCTGCAGGACCAACTGGACGCCCTCGATCCGCTGACGACGCGTACACCTTATAACAGCAAGACGGCAGTCCTTAAGCTCCCCCGACTTCAGCTTCTGGCCAACTCTCTCCACGGCGAAGTAGGCCGTGGAACCAGTGCCCAGCCCGACAACCATGCCTGAGCGGCGAAATCCGACTCATCTCGCCCCCACATAACGGTTGGAAGCCGGTTTCGCAACAACCCTCTTGTCCCCGCTGCCCCGAGACTCTCGTGAGAGGGACAGGGGGGACTGGCTCAGGGGGGGAGGAACATCGACCTGGCATCGGCGATACATCGCCGATCGATCGGCAATAGACTCCCGATCGCGAAACCACACGTTCCTGGGCGGTTGGGCTATCAGGCCCCTATCGGCGATGACTGAGTGGGCGATTGGGGGTCGATGCGTTCCCCCCCGAGCGTGTTTCCCTTGTCTGGAGAAACAAGGAAAAAACATAACAGTCAATTCTGGGAGGTCTGCGCATCGGCGCGGAACTCCCAGAATTTATGTGGATGCCGCTCTCCTTCTTCGAGTAACGTTGCCGATGACTGCCCCCCTCCCCTCGGAACGCACTAGCCCGGGTCAGCACAAAACACTGGGTCGGCACGGGCCCTGCCGCGAAGCCATGCCAGTTGCTAGTCAACTCCCCTGTCCGGGGCCAGCCGAGGGCGGGAAAGGGGGAACCAGCCCCACGTGGCTCTCGCCATCGCTCGGACGTCCATTCCGTGCGCTTTTTTCGGTTTCGTGCGTGGTTTTTTCGCCAGATGAGCAAGGATGCTCCTCGATGGTCCTCGCCGAAGGAAAAATGCACACGTCCGAGCGATGCCGAGGGCTCTTCAACCCCTGTGAGCCACAGGGGATTGGCCGATGCCCGCTACGCGAGCCCCGCTTCCCCTCCAAGACGCCGTGCCCCGAGGCGGGGGGGGGGGGGTTCTCGGGCCACTGGGCCCGCGGCGGGCGCTCCGAATCCGAGGCCACGGCGGCGCCCCCCCCCCCCCCCCCCCGGGCGCAGCAGCGGGGCCGCGCCGAGGCGCGTCGGTGGCTCCGAGGTGTCTGCACAAAAAAACCCACGAAGGATTGCACGAAAAAACCCTTCGAACCCTTCGAACGAAGGGTTTTTTTTGTGCAATCCTTCGAAAGGTTTTTTTTGTGCAATCCTTCGGAGAGGCAGCTCCTGGGAGGTCCTCGCGAGAACGAGCCGGGGCTGTGAAGCCCGACTGCGGGGGCGCTGAGCGGGATTGGCCCGGGAGCGCCCGGGAGCAAGGCCGGCTCGGCCAGGTGGAGCGGGACTGCGAGGCAATGGGCGGGGGGCCATGCCAGATGGGGCCAGTGTTCGACCGGGCATGCGTCGGCGCCGAGGTTGAAGTTGACCGCCCAGGAGCTGCATCTGGTGAGACGGGGCCCCGAGGGATGGGGCCCGAAGGGCGAGAAGGGACTCCAAGAAGCAACCGCGTAAACAGGAACTCTCGGAGTTCCGCGCGGGCCTGCGAACAGTTACATGTCATGCCGTTCCTTTTTCGCCCTGAGTCTGAAAAGCGCATGCCGACTCCAGCAGTAAAACTCGTGCCTGGGATCCCTTCCGTATCTCGGGGGGCGTCCAAAAAGGGGGGCACCCAAGAGGGGGGGTCGCTCATCATGGCCGGAGGCATGCGCGCGGACGGCCGGGGGACCAGGGGACCCATTGAGAGAAGAAGAGAGGCCACGACACCGGGGGAGGTACCATGGCCCCGACCGTGCTATCCAACCTCCCCTGGTCATCACCTCCCTGGTGGCCGCCCCTGGTACCTGGGATCCCTTCCGCATTGGGGAACCCAGAAAGGACCGATACCGCCATTCTCTGGACCTTTCCCGGGGTGCGCTGTCACTGGAATTCCCAATCGAATCCAGCGGTGGCGACGAGGGGCTCCCTGGAGGCCCACAGAGGCGACAACGCAATCCAGCACCCTCCTCTGACTGACAGCCCCCCAAACCCGCAAGGCCCCACCTCTGGACCGCCGACCCGAGGAGGGCGCCGCTGCCCCGAGCGGGGCTCCGAGCCGCCTGGCGGGGCGGGGGCCCGAGGGCCCACCAGGCAGAGCACCCAGGCACGGCAGGGCTCGCTTTCCGCGGGCCAGATGCAGTGGGGATGAGAACTGCCAGCCTCCCCAGTGAGACACAGGGGGATCCACCAATGAAAGCACCAGCCATGGAGGAGAAGGGAGGGGCGCGGGAGGGAAAAAACAAGAGGCAGGACAGACGCGACGCGTGGGCAGCCCCGACGGCTCTCGTGCGGGACAGTGCAGGGGGGATCCGGCGGGCGTCAGTGTCAGGAGGCAACGTGTGGGAGGTCCTCGCGAGTCTCTGGCCCGAGCCGTGGCGCGCGAAACGCGATCACGGCAGGTTCGTGTCGTGACGGATTGGGCGTTGGTTTCTGACGCCTCGTGGATCGTGCCTCCTGGAACGGTCGCGGCTTGCCGACGGCACAAATCGTTCGACATCGGCCGATTCTGGGCCACTGGCGTTCAAGCTCGAACGCCAGCATTGGGCTCGCCGCCGCGTCGAGAACGACACGGCCGCATCGTACCCTGATTCCCCTGGGGGGGGGCCTACAGAAAGGCGCGCCTTCCAGGCAACCTTCTGGCTGCACTCGTTCGCCCCCTGTCGACTGACCCTCCAACCCCCCGCGCGAACGTCCACCCAAAGACAATAAACATCCAGAGGCGTTTCTGTTCACGTGTTCGGTCTCCCCGAGGCCTCTCTCGAGCCCCGCGGGCCCTCGGTCCTGAAGCGGGGCGATGGCTGATCGTGCGACGACAAGGGAACCCCCAAAGAACTCACTGCACGGTCCGTCACCGCACTGCTTTGGGACCCTGAAAGCACCAGTCGCCCGAGACATCCTGACCTGACCCGCCAGGTGTGGTCACCGCACCGTTTGGGGGTGAAGGAACTGCTTGGGGTGAGGCGCGGGTCCGAGGAAGGCCCCAGATTCAGGGGCACGTTTCCCTCGGGAACCCCCTCTTCCCTCGTGGCAAGTCCCCCCCGCTTGGCACGGGCGCGGCGCCGCTGCGCACGTAGTCGTCCACCGCCTGGTGGGAGAGGGAGCGCAGGGAGGACGTGCTGGGCTCCTCCTTCTCCTCCTGTTCTCACCCACTCGTTCCTATTCCTCCTCCCATTCCCCCCGTCAATTCTCCACGTCCTTCTCCTCCTTTTCTTTTTTTTGTTTTTTTTTCTAATTCTTCTTCTTTTCCCCGCTCCTTCTCCTCCTCCTCGACCCCTTGACCTTCACGCTCCCCGCTCCTCCCCGCTCCTCCCCGCTCCTCCGCCTCCTCCTCCTCCTCCTCCTCCTCCCCGCCCTTTCGAGCCTTTCAATCGCGGCCCCAAGTCGCTCTCGCGACGAGCCTCCCCGCCCTCCTCCTCCTCCCCGCTCCTCCTCCCCGCTCCTCCTCCTCGTCCTCCTCCTCGTCCTCCTCCTCCTCCTCCTCCTCCTGGACCGAGGATGATGCCATCTAAGGTGGCTCAGGACGGACTCCAACACGCCGGGGAGTCCTCAATGACGACCAAGATGGCCTCAAGTCTGCCCAAGAAGCCTCAAAAATGCCTCAAAAGGGCTCCAAGGCGACCCCGGAGAGTACCCCAAGAAGCAAGAATCGTCTCAACCCCTTTGACAAACCAATCGATATTCGCATGCTTCCCAACCCTCTTGTGCTGGGTTCTTGATTTGAGCAGAACACTGTCGACCCCCCCTCCTCCTCCTCCTCCTCCTCCTTCTCCTCCCGCCTCCCTTTGTCTCCCTGCCTCGCCCCTCCCGCCGTCTGCTGCCTCTTCCTGCGCTGCTCCCTGGGTGGTTGCGAACTGCGCACCGGTCGCCACTTTCGTGGGACGCGCATCCAGTCTGGCGGTGTTGAGTTACACGCGGAATTCACTTGTTGGTACACGCGGTGTGAAGTTTCACACGGGGTTGAGTGTTTGTCGTTACTCTCGCTGTCGCGCTCTTCTGATTTCACATCTGGTTGCATCTGCGCACTCCGGCTCATCTATCATGTTCCTTTGTATTGAACTGTCCTCGGTATACCCGCCACGTGTTTAGAACGGGTTGGGCACGTTCGGGAAATTGGTCTTTAACAGCGTCCGCGACGGCTCAAAAGGCCCCCAATCTCGCTCCAAGACAGCCCAAGAAGCCCCCAAGAGGGCCCCAAGAGGCCGAAGAAGGTCCCAAGACGGCCCGAGAGGCGCCCAAGATGGCCCAAGAAAGCCCCAACAGGGACCCAAGAGATGCCCAAGAGAAGAAACTCGAACTGCCATTCTGACTGAGCCTGGGCCCCAAGAGGACCCCCGAGACCGCCAGCAGGCGCCCCCAAACAACTCCGACGAGTCCCGAAGATGCCCCCGAGACGCCCAGAAGAGGCACCCAGAGGGCCCCCAAGAAGCCCCGAAAGGCATCACCCGTGAACTTCATTCCTCTTCTGGGGATGTGCGGAATGGCGCAGGCCTCTTGAATAAGAAACGAAAGAAGCTTCTGGCCACGGCAAGCCTCAGCCACGAAGAGCTTCCCCGACGTGGATCGCCGGAACGGCCCGAAAACACCCCTATGAAATATAGTTACACACTGTATGTTGTTTTGCTTTGTGTGTGTGTGTGTGTGTCTGTGTGTCTGTGTGTTTCTCTCTCTCTCTCTCTCTCTTCCCCCCCCCGCCCTTCTGTCCCTTTTCTGCTCTCAGCGCTCCCTCCCTCCCTCCCTCCTGAGTTGCCCGCCCGCCCATCAGCAGGCGTTGCTGGGAGGGTCGCTCGGCTGAAATACGTAGCACCCCGCAATTGCGGATAAGAGTGAGAGGGCGGGCGCGGGCGACGCGGGCGTCGAGCTGGCGGACCTCGTGGCCTTCACCTTCCCTGTCGATGGCGCCATCCTCCTCCTCCTCCTGCTCCTCCTCCTCTTTCTCGTGATTTGCGTGCTCTGACAAGTTCAGCGCGGGGGGGATCGCTGGTGGGCCACCCGGAACGAATGCAAAAACAGCCCGCCGCAGGCGCCGAATTTTTGGCTTGTTCAGTGAACGTAGTTTGGGTCGCGGGTGGGTCGCGGGCTCTCCACCTCCACCTGGAATGAATTCAAAAACAGCCCGCCGCAGGCGCCGAAAAATTTGATGTGCACACTGAACGTGGCTTGGGTCGCAGGTTCTCCACCTGGAACGAATGCAAAAGAAACCCGCCGCAGGCGCCAAAGTTTTGGCTTGTTCAGTGAACGTAGTTTGGGTCGCGGGTGGGTCGCGGGCTCTCCACCTCCACCTGGAAGGATTCAAAAACAGCCCGCCGCAGGCGCCGAAAAAATTGATGTGCACACTGAACGCGGCTTGGGTCGCAGGTTCTCCACCTGGAACGAATGCAAAAGAAACCCGCCGCAGGCGCCGAAGTTTTGGCTTGTTCAGTGAACGTAGTTTGGGTCGCGGGTGGGTCGCGGGCTCTCCACCTCCACCTGGAAGGAATTCAAAAACAGCCCGCCGCAGGCGCCGAAAATTTTGATTTGTACACTGAACGCGGTTTGGGTCGCGGGTGGGTCGCAAGTTCTCCACCTCGGAACGAATGCAAAAAAGCCCGCCGCAGGCGCCGGGTGGGTCGCGGGGTGGGTCGCGGGTGGGTCGCGGGTGGGTCGCGGGTGGGTCGCGGATGGGTCGCGGGGTGGGTCGCGGGTGGGTCGCGGGTGGGTCGCCGGTGGGTTGCGGGTGGGTCGCCAGGGGGGTCGCGGGTGGGTCGCGGGCGGGTCGCGGGGTGTGGGTCGCGGGTGGGTCGCGGGTGGGTCACGGGTGGGTGTCGGGGTGGGTCGCGGGTGGGTCGCGGGATGCGTCGCGGATGGGTTGCGGGTGGGTCGCGGGGTGGGTCGCTGGTGGGTCGCGGGGCGGGTCGCGGGCGGGACGACGACAACAAACAGCAAACAACAACAAACACCAACAACACCAACAACACTAACAACAACAACAACAACAACAACAACAATCATTTAAGACTGGGGACACTCCGTTCTCACCAGTGCCAGGGTTTTCATAGGAGGCGGGCAATACCCCCACTTTGTGGGGGGGCCGGTTCAAGCTCTACCAAATTTCCATACGACTCTTCGCCACCACCCACACCCAGCTTCCCGCCCTATGACGTTCGGACACTTCACTTCGTGGCATGCGGACGACCGTGGCTACTATTCAGGGCCCCGCGGCCGACGACGACGGCGTGCGCGCGCGAAGAAAAAACGAATGTGTCCCGCATGGTATTATTTGACAGGGATGATGGCCCTGGCAGGTGCGCAACCGTTGTTGCAGAAGTTCGAAAAAGTTGCTCGCAAAAGCCCGTTTGACAGAAATGTTTAAAAAGTGTTGGGTTTCCTACGAATCCGCAAGAGCGCGCGGGATGAAATTTTGACATTTTTTTGTTGAAAAACCATTGGTTTTTTGATGTTTTTATGTTAAAATCGCTCCGAAAACTAAGGTTTTGGAAGGATTTCGTCTTGCGCGCGCGAATGTCCACTTTACCTTATTTTTTGCAAGGGATTCTTGAAGTTTGGATTATGTTAGAACAAGAAATGTCATTTTATAGTGTTTTTTGCAAGGGAAAGCGGATTACAACAAAACAACCGGATCTGGATGACATCGTTTTGCCTGAGGCTTCCTCACGAAAATGATGAAAATGAGGCTGCGGCCTAGGCGCGGCGGGGGGGTCGCGCACCAGGGGTCCCAACAATAATTATTCTTTAGAAGAATAATGTTTTACTAGCACGTGGGGACACTCCGTTCTCACCAGTGCCAGGGTTTTCATAGGAGGCGGGCAATACCCCCACTTTGTGGGGGGGCCGGTTCAAGCTCTACCAAATTTCCAAACGACTCTTCGCCACCACCCACACCCAGCTTCCCGCCCTATGACGTTCGGACACTTCACTTCGTGGCATGCGGACGACCGTGGCTACTATTCAGGGCCCCGCGGCCGACGACGACGGCGTGCGCGCGCGAAGAAAAAACGAATGTGTCCCGCATGGTATTATTTGACAGGGATGATGGCCCTGGCAGGTGCGCAACCGTTGTCGCAGAAGTTCGAAAAAGTTGCTCGCAAAAGCCCGTTTGACAGAAATGTTTAAAAAGTGTTGGGTTTCCTACGAATCCGCAAGAGCGCGCGGGATGAGATTTTGACAATTTTTTGTTGAAAAACCATTGGTTTTTTGATGTTTTATGTTAAAATCGCTGCGAACACTAAGGTTTTGGAAGGATTTCGTCTTGCGCGCGCGAATGTCCACTTTACCTTATTTTTTGCAAGGGATTCTTGAAATTTGATTATATTAGAACAAGAAATGTCATTTTCTATTGTTTTTTGCAAGGGAAAGCGGATTACAACAAAACAACCGGATCCTGTACACACCCTCTTTTCTGAGGCTTCCTCACGAAAATGATGAAAATGTAGCTGCGGCCTAGGCGGCGCAGGGGGGGCGCGCACCAGGGGGCCCAACAATAATTATTCTTTAGAATAAATAATGTTCAACAACAACAACAACAATACTAGACTGGGGACACTCCGTTCTCACCAGTGCCAGGGTTTTCATAGGAGGCGGGCAATACCCCCACTTTGTGGGGGGGCCGGTTCAAGCTCTACCAAATTTCCAAACGACTCTTCGCCACCACCCACACCCAGCTTCCCGCCCTATGACGTTCGGACACTTCACTTCGTGGCATGCGGACGACCGTGGCTACTATTCAGGGCCCCGCGGCCGACGACGACGGCGTGCGCGCGCGAAGAAAAAACGAATGTGTCCAATATGGTATTATTTGACAGGGATGATGGCCCTGGCATGCGCGCAACCGTTGTTGCAGAAGTTCGAAGCACGTGAAAAAGTTGCTCGCAAGAGCCCGTTTGACAGAAATGTTGAAAAAATATTGGGTTTCCTCAGAAATCCGCAAGAGCGCGCAAGATGAATGTTTGAAACTTTTGTTTTGAAAAAACATTTGGTTTTTCATGTTTTTATGTTAAAATCGCTACGAAAACTAAGGTTTTGGAAGGATTTCATCTTGCGCGCGCGAGTGTGCACTTCGTGTCATTTTTTTCAAAGGATTCTTGAAGTTTGGTTATGTTAGAACAAGAAATTTCATTTTATACTGTTTTTTGCAAAGGGAAAGCGGGCGTCAACAAAACAACCGGATCCGGACACCCACGTTTTGCCTGAGACTTCCTCACGAAAATGATGAAAATGTGGCTGCGGCCTAGGCGCGGCGAGGGGGGCGCACACCAGGGGTCCCAACAATAATTATTCTTTAGAATAAATAATGTTCAACAACAACAACACCAACAACACCAACAACAACAACCACAACAACAACAACAACAAGAATCCGCATCGCGGAATTCCACTTCAACCGCGCACCCAGGGACAGTGAATGACCGTTCGGTTAAGCCCCCTCACTCTGATCTCCTCTCTTCTCCCACCTCCTTCCTCCCCGATCCCCGCCTTCGCCCTCTCCTTCTCACACCTCCTGCCCTCTTCTCCTTCTCCCACCTTATTATTCCACCTTCTTCTTTCTCCCACCTCTTCTCCACATCTACGGAGCTCCCCCCAGATCCCCTCCTGCCGAACCCCTCAAGAACAGCGAAGAGGTGCAGCCACGGGTTGGCAAGAGAGGGGCTCGCGCCACTGGCGCGGGGAAGCTGCCTTGTATCCGACCTGCTTCTTGAGCTCGTCCTCTCCGGGGCGCAAAACATATTGTTGGCATCGGGCGCGCCATGTCTTTTGCTGGACAAGCCCATTCGTATGCGTCAACCTGGGGTACAATCGTGCACGCGTCGCCATGAAATTCAAAACCCGATTCCTGCGATCTACATCTTGGTCACATTGTTTGTGTGCCGGGCTTCCATTCCAGGGAGTATGTGGCACTCCCATGGCAGACGACTGCTCCAGGCTTGGTCGTCTCAGTGTACAGAACGTGTTCCTGCCATCCCTCGCACTACTGAGAACCATTGTTTCTGCTCTCGGTAGCTCGCGATATGTCCACCAACCAACTGAGTTTCACCGCTCACCGGTAGCAGGAAGCGCAGACAGGAAGGAGGAGCGCTCGCCACCTGCTATGGCTACCAATGCAAAAACAATCGAAACGAACGCTGCCGTTTTACGCATGCGGTCGGGAACTTTTGCTTAGCGTGTCGCGGCGGCGGCCTTGGCGACACGCTATGCCCTGCAAGCGGAAAGCGTGTGGCTCCGCTCCGCGGGGCGGGAGGCTCGGACAGGCTCGGAACGTGGACGCTGGGAACCAGCAAGTGGATAGCGTTTCGCGCCAAAGCGTGGTGTGCCAGAACCCGCGGAACCACACGCTATCAAAAAGTTCCGACCGCATCTATGTTTACTGTACACACGACGATTAATCGCGTCAAGAGGGCCCCGACAGAGCCAAAAAAACGGCGGCAGTTTCGCGGGAAGGGGCAACACCCACAGGGAACAGGAGGGAGAGGGTGAGGGGGAGGATGAATGATCAGGAGAAGGAGGATGAGGAGGAACCATGCGGCGAACGCGAACGAAAAGGAGGGAGAAGGGGAATGGGGGAGGATGCCGGGGGAGGATGCCGGGGGAGGAGGAGGAGGAGGAGGAGGAGGAGGAGGAGGAGGAGGAGAAGGAGGACGAGGAGGAGGGAGGAGGAGGAGGAGGAGGAGGAGGAGAAGGAGGAGGAGGAGGTGGAGATGGAGGAGGAGGCGGGCAGAGGAGCGAGGGGGCTGGTGTGAGGATGGAGATTCCTCTGAGCTTCCTGGCGCCCAGACACATGGATGGGGAGGGGGGCTCGGAGGTTTCCCCCCTGGGACTATCTCAAAAATCTCCCACATGGGAAGCGTGGACCTCCCGGTGGGGTTGCATGGGGAGACTTGCAAACACACTGCCGAGGCACCTCGGCTTCGGGATGCCCAGTCGCGCAGCGAGGAGCCCCCTCCTCTCTCCTCCTCCCTCCTCCCTCCTCCGCCATCCTCCTCCCTCCTCCTCCATCCCCCTCCCTACTCCTACTCCTCCTCCTCCTCCTCCCCCTCTCCTCCTCCCTCCCCCCTCCCTCCTCCCTCCTCCTTCTCTCCTCCTCCTTCTCCTCCCCCCCCCTCCTCCTCCTCCTCCTCTCCTCCCCCTCCTCCTCTCCTCCTCCTCCTCCTCCTCCTCCTCCTCCTCCTCCTCCGCCTCCGCCTCCGCCTCCGCCTCCTCCTCCTCTCTCCTCGCGCCGCACCCAGACCTTGTCGCGGGCTGCAGCAGCCGCAGGAGCCCGCCGACCCGGGTGCTGACCTTGGTGGGCCCTCGCCAGCCTATCACGGCCTCTGCGGGTCCCCCCTCGGCAGACCCCAACGAGCTCCCCGGGGCCGACCTGGACTGTGCAGCCGCAGTGCGAGCAGACACAATGTTTGCGTCGGCGGCGAAGCAGGGCAGCTGTGCCGGCGGAGGTCCACCTCAACGGGGGTGCCGTTGCAGCGAACTGTGCCGCCGTGCAGGAAGGAGGGGCAGGGCCACAGCTGCAGCCGATGCGCGGCGCGCAGCGCCTGGCAACGAGGAGGGAGGAGAAGGAGGAAGGAAGAAATAGAGGTATACATGACGGCCAAACCGAACATTTTCGGCGGAACAGCGCGCGGATTCAGTGGATCGGCACTGGCCGGAGCGCTCCAGGGGCGCCGCCAGAGGGGTCCAGCGCCGATCCAAGACATCCGCGCGGAGCTTCGGAAGTCTGTGTATGCAACGCTTTCTTCCTCGAGCGGGAGGAGGCGGTGGAGGCAGAGGAGGGAGGCACGAGGTGGCAGGACCAGCACGCCGCTGGAAGGGGTCTCGACTGTTCGACGGAGGCGGCCTGCGCCCTGCCCCATCGCTCTCTTGGCCGAAGGCGGTGAAGGCGAAGGAGAGAGGAATTAAGGAGGAGGAGGAGGAGGAGGAGGAGGAGGTGGAAGAGGAGGAGGAGGCGGAAGGGCCAGCACGCAGCTGGAAGGGGTCTCGAATGCTGGATGGGGGCGGCCTGCGCCCTGCCCCATCGCTCTCTTGGCCTCGGGCTTGGGCGGCGGCCGGGCCAGCGCCTCAGCCTCCTGGCCGCAAGCGGGCATGCAGTGGCATCGGCTGCTCACGAGGTGGAAGGAAGAGGAGGAGGAGGAGGAGGAGGAGAAGGAGGAGGAGGAGGAGGAGGTGGAAGGAGGAGGAGGAGGAGGAGGAGGAGGAGGAGGAGGAGGAGGAGGAGGAGGAGGCAGGAGGAGGCCCCCAGGCGGCGAAGGGGCTCCAGACGGGCCCTCCAGGCTGCTCTGTGCGCGGCTACGCTGGTCTCGTGCAGGCCGCGTTGCCCCGCGCAGGGGGAAAGAGGACGGGAGAGGCAAGCAACCGACGACGAACGCGCAGGCGGGAGGCTGGGGCCGACGGGGCGGGCGGGCGGGAGAGAGGCACCTCCGCTGTCCTGCGAGGATCGAAGAGCAAGGAGGACCGAGGAGGACACAGGATCGAGGAGGATCGAGGGTCGAGGAGCATCGAGGATCGATGGGAATCGAGGGTCGAGGAGGATCAAGGGTCGAAGGTTGAGGGCCGAGGATCGAGGCCTCTTCCGCGGTCCTGTGAGGGCGGCGGCGCCATCGAGATGGCGCCAGCGGCAGTCGGCATGAGGCAGGCGGCGCCCGCTGCGGCAAGGCCCAGGCCACGGCGAGACCTGCGCGCGGCGGGCGCGGGTGGAGGGACAGAGCACGAGAGATGAAAAGAAGAACGGGTGGGTCAACGAGAACACGAACACGAGAACATGAGTATGGGCGAACGAGAGAGAACACGTGGGTGAACGAGAGTACGAGAAGGGGCGTGGGTGAGCGGGCGCACGGGAGAGAACACGAGAAATGAAAAAAGATGATCGACGAGAAGAAACGGGTCTTGCGCGATACGCTACAACGACCTTACGCCCCAGCTTGCGCGGGCCGGCAACGCGGCACGCAATATGAAAACCAGGGTTCACGCGCGACGCGACCCTACGCGGGCAGCTTACGCGCCATTCGCGCGTAAGCTGCGAATGTCAGTGCGACTGTCGGTGCAGTCGACCCCGCTTCGTGTCGTCGCTCAGGTAAGGGTCAGGCGTTGCAGTCATGGGGGGGCGAGCATCATTTTCTTGGGGGGGGGAGAGAGAGAGAGAGAGAGAGAAACGGGCACCTTCGTGCCCCAAGGGGTGTCCCTTTAGGGCACCAGCGGTGCACCTTCCTTCGCTCTCCCCGTTCATCCCCCCCCTAACGCAACGCCCAAGATAGCAACGGTAGGGGGGATCGGCTCAGGGCGAATCACACATCGGCATGGAATCGACGGCACGTCGCCAGAAGATCGGCGATAGGCCCGCGATTGCGAAACCGCACGGTCCTCGGCGGGGTGGGCTATCGGGCCCTTCTCGGCGATCAATTGGCGATTGGGGGTCGATGCATCTCGCCCTTAGCCTATCCACCCCCAGATGCTGCCCCTGGAGAAGAGGACAGAGAGAGAGAGAGAGAAGCGCCTGTACACTAAAGCTCCTTCGCCGAGTTCTATTCGGCTACCTGGCCGATCAAGCGTCGCAGCGAATGCATCGAACTCCTCCGACCCAATACCAAAATGATGGCCAAGACCAAACGCCCTCCTCCCGTAAGCGCGAGCCCTCCCCGTTCTCCGTGCCTGGGGGGTAGAGAAGACGATGACCGTGACCCAGGCCGAACGCGAAAACGTGGGCGTCGATATTGGTCAATTTCCGCCTTGGCCATCGTCAATGTGTGGCTCGTCCTCGCGGATCGGCGACGGCTGACATGGATCATGACCAAGGTCGGCGTCGACAAAGATCCCGCGAAGTCTTGGTCATGGCCATCGTGTGTCTTCCCTCACGTCCAGGGGCGGCGGCGGCGCCCGGACGAGCGGGCACCTCGGGCATCCGCGGAGCGCCCTGTGGCAGCGAGAGAAGGAGGAAGAGGAGGAGGAGGAGGAAGAGAGGAAGAGATGGAAGAGGAGGACGAGGAGGAGGAAGAGGAGGAAGAGGAGGAGGACGAGGAGGGGGATAATACCTTTTTGTTGGATGGGGCCTACAGTGGCATTCTCTACCCTCGTAGACGGATCGTGGCAGGTAGCACCTCGGCCACGCACGATGCCAAGTCTTTCCTCGTCTCCGCGTTCGTCGGGCACTGTTTTACCGTATACGGTATATACCGGTATGACCACTTCATTGTCAAACTACAGTACAAAGCCATTGTCAACAAGCCGTACCGTATCAGGCATTGTCATAGGTATGTGTTGTCATTGTCAACAAGCCATCCCAAGGCTCGAAAGCCCGTGCAGACATGCGCCTTGTTCGTGGTACAGTATATTTTCGTATGCTGTATAAGCCAAGGCATATAGTTCGAACATCGGTAGAGGAGCCTTTCTCGAGATTGGCTTATATCGTTACTCCTGGAAACGGTCGATACCCTGGGGTGGGGGGGGGAATGGGGCCCTGGGTAAAGGTAGCATTGAGACGGAATGGGGCACTTCGGGGCGGAGGCGCGCGCTGCGATCGCCAGAATGAGCGCGCGAGCACCAGCATGTAGGGGGTGGGATCCAAAACGCTCCCGCACGTATCGTCACCAGGAGAGGGGCGGGAGATGAGCAACGCAATATCATCCTCTCCCTCCCCCCTCCCCAATGCGCCCTCCCTTCCTCCCTGCCCCACTACTGGCTCGAAGGGGGACGTTGGGGGGACCAGCTCAGGGGGGAAGCATCGAGGCGGAATCGGCGATACATCGTCGATTGATAGACGAGAAGCTCCGTTAGCGAGTCCGCACGCTCTTGGACTGGGTAGGGCACCCGAGCTTCTCAGCGGGGCGGAGGGGGGAAGTTGAGCAGGGACCGACCGTCCCGGCATTCCTATAGGCCTGCCAGGCCTACCACGAAATGTTCTTAGAACCCGTGAATGTTCTAAGAACAACGACAATGTTCTTAGAACATAAACCCGACGTTTTAAAACAAGACGCTCCCAGCAAGAAATGTTCGAAGAACACTTCGTGGGAACCACAAAAGGTTCTTAGAACATTGCTTGGTAGGGCTATAGGCGAGCCAGGACGCTTAGCCACTGCTTGAGAGGGAGAAGGACGGCCGCGCCCATGACCGTGCACCGCGCGCGGCGCCGGCCAGCTCCGGGAGCAGCCCTCTCGGGGGTGGGCCGTGGGCCCTCTGAAGGCTCGTCGTCGTCGTCGCCGTCGTTGTCGCCGCCGCCGTAAACCAGTCGTCCTCCTCCTCGCCGCCATCGTCGTCGTGGTCCTCCTCCACCTCCTCCTGCTCCTGCTCCTTCCCCTCCTCCTCCTCCTCCTCGTCCTCCTCCTCTTCAAACGTTAGACCAACCTGAGTAAGAAAACTGGCGTTTGTGGAAATTTGGGAAATAAAAAAATAAGTAGAGATCCAGCGTGGCGCAATACCTGGCGGACGGCGCGGGTGAGGAAAGAAACAGAGATGTGCGGCGCAGCAGGGTGCATAGAGTAGGCGCCCGCCAAGTAGAACCGAGGGCAGCTAAGGTACCTTAGTAAGTAACCGCCCCCCCGACCACCACGTCAACTGAGCCCCCATAAGATCTCTGGTGCCAGCTGCCTTGCTAAAAGCAGGTGAGCAGTAGGTAAGATGCAAGGTAAGACGTGGCGTCGGGTGACTGCCAAAGGTCGGTAAACTGCGAACTGAAAGCCACAATGGCTCATGAGGTGGTACAGGGTCCCTGTGAAGGGAGGGCCTGTACACAGAGACCCAAGTGGGGTAGCCGTACGTCCTCCCTTCCCCAATAACCGTAGAGCCTGTAAAGCACCCAAGTACCGCCATCCCCCCGAAGTCAGATCAGACAAGTCAGGCTGAGAGGTAGGCAAAGTACAAAGCTACGCATTGGTGTGTGGCTCCTGCAGCTTATTTGAGAACGAAGTGGTAAAAACAAATGCGTCGGGTGGCTTGTACAGAGGCTGAGAGGGCAAGGTGCACAGAGCTGCTGTACAGGGGATGCCTAGGGTGTCCTCCTCCGCCTCCTCTCCTCATTCCCCTCCTCCTCCCCTTCAGAATCTCACTCATAGTTTTTATTGGTGTTATCATTGTTATCTTCACTACGACTCATATTATTATTCTTATTGTTGTGTTTGCTATAATCATGTTTATTACTGCTAGTTTTCTTGTTATTATTGTTCCTCCTCCTCCTCCTCCTCTCCCTCCTCCTCCCCCCTCTCCTCCTCCCTCGCTCCCCTGCATACGTGCCCACTGCCTCGGACCAGGCCCATCCTCGGCCCAGGCCCCGCGTAGTGCACCGCTCCAGGGCACTGGCAGGCATACCCACTGTGCCTTGCAAGGCCCACTCGGGGCGCCGGAGCGGTGTGTGCGCCCCCCTGGCGTGGTCAGGAATACACCTGTGCGCCGATCCCGGGCCCAGGATGGGCCTGGCCAGGGGCGGTGGAGATGTATAGAACTCGTCGCCTGATCCAGCCTCCTCCTCCAGCTGCCCCCTGCCCCTCGTTGTTGCTGTCGTCCTCCCTCCCCATTCATCTCGTCGTCGTCGTCGTCGGCTAAGAAGGAGGAGGGAGGGGGGCAGTCGCTCATGCGAGCGGGTATCATCCCAGACATCTGGCGCATCGACTTTGTCGAGACACGGGCCCCCGACCACTGGACCACTTCCCTGGGACCTGTTTTTCATCCCGACTCGTTTCTGACGGCCCAGAGGCCCAGTAAGTGCCCCGAGAGGCCGAAAACCCTGAAGAATATGCGTCTCGTTTTTTCGGAACGCCGGATGTCTGGGATAACGGCTCGGGCGAGCTGGCCCGCAGGCCCTTCACAGCGCACACGCGTGGCTGAATCCGAAGGCCAAAGCCAAGATGCGCGAGCGTGGGAAGGGCATCCAACGTGTGACAGGCTCGGGCATCAGCACGTCGTTGAGCGGTGCTGCAGCCTCCGCTGAGCACAGACCCGCCCGCTCCCCCGCCCAAGCAGCAGCCACGCATGTCGAACTTTCACACTCCTTCCTACGGCCGGACCCAGGACAGAAGATCACCCTTCAAGAGCATGGGACCCTCCGCCGGCCAAAACACCCCAAGCCATAAGATCGCTCGAGGGTACCCTCCCCAAGGATGCACACGAACATCCAAGAAGCGCGAAGAATATCAAGGCACCCTCCCTGAACCGACCTCGATCTGACACCTCGGTCCGACTGCGCTGGACTCTGGCCACGTTTCGGCACCTTTCCGCTCAGCTGCCTCCAGCCCTTCCGTCGGGGGGGCCGGGAGGACGGAGGGGCGGACGAGCAGGCGGGGGGGGGGGGCGGGCCTTGCCCTCCCCCCCCCCCTCGGCCGGGCACTGCACTTCAGACGAAGCCAAGACGACGAAAAAATCGGGTGAGGATAAATCGAGAATCTCTGAGATCCGGCGGCTCTTCAGGATGTCTCGGGAGCCGCGACCTTCTCAGAACGTTCTGGAACGCTCTGAGAGCGTTCTGGAACGCTCTGGAACGGGTTTATCCTCATCTTGGCCCGTCCGAAGACCCCCCCCTTGGCCTTCAGATCAATGCATCAAAACCTCGCAGAGGAGGGTGAGGAGGCACTGCATTGGTTCTGAAGCTCAGGGAATTCGGAGGCGACGGACCCGAGATCCGAGGCTGGACCTTATTCAATGCC